TGGCGCACACATGCCACTTACTTGGTGTACCACCTCAGTTTCGTTCGAGATTCGCCGAGATGTGCTGGTGGTAAATGATATTCTTCGCTTGGTGAAAAATCGTTCGCGAAGCAAGCCTTCGGGGTTCCGCATCGCGAAACCGGGTTTCCTCACGAATTTCAACACCACAAACATTGACCGACGGGGAGGAAATTCGTACGGACGTGATATATACACCACACTGTCAAGAGATATAATTGAGAATCGTAACAAGTTCACAACAAGCATGATCTTGGATAGATGTGTTGGAACACGGGGTTCACATAACTTTTACAAGGTGAAAGGGTGAACAACTTCAAACATCGACCTCAGCTACCTTCTCCTCTGTTAAAAATCACATTCTTATTTGACCAGCAACTCCAAGCAGATAAATAGCTACCGATGCCAAACGGCAAAGCTTATGCCCCATCACAAAACACTCACCCTGCATATATAAACAGCAACTGTGAAATCCATCACTCACATCAAAAGACAACAATAATGAGGGCTAGCACGGAAACTATCATTGCATTGATGTAGAGGGCTCTCACAAACACTGGCGAGGCAGGTTTGGGTGTTGGTGGTGGCGATGGTGAAGGTGGTGTTGGTGGTGGTGGTAGTGGGGATGGTGGGGATGGGATGGACGGGCTGCTGGAAGGTGATGGTGATGATGGCCCTGGTGATGGTGGCGCTGCAGGTGGGGGTGTTGTTGGTGCTGCAGATGGTGGTTGGGTTGGTGGAGGTGGCATTGGTGAAGGCACTGGTGCTGCTGATGATGGTGCTGCAACTGATGGTTCTGCTGCTGGTGGTGCTGCTGGTGATGGTGGTGCTGCTGCTGGCGGCTGGATCGGCGGGGCTTGAGGAGCTTTGAGGTTGGTGTAGCAGGCCGGGAATGGGGGAAAAAAGAACGACAGATTCCAATCATACGGCAAGCCATTGAGCAACGGGCAAGACTATGCAACCGCCCGGGGAAAAAATAAGAAGAGAAGAAATTGCGGAACTAGGTGACACGGAACGAATGAAAGAAGGGTGCATGAAAGGGGACATGGGACAATGGTTTGATAGCAGCAGGAAAAGGCGAAGGAGGAGGGGGGCCGGGAGGGAGGGAGAGGAGGGAAAGGGGGGAGGCTAGGCTCACAAGTAGAAGAGCAGCTGGAGTGGCAAATGGAATATTTTTGCAGCTTGAAGAGAAAATCAGGTTTAGATGGCAGAATAAGATACTTGGATGACCATGCGCAAGAGAAGGAAGATGAGATCGGTTAAGAACTTTGAATGGCCTTCTTGAAACATTTTGAAAAGTGCAGGTGAGTCATGAGCGGCAAGGGGAGGGCATGGGCTTACCCGCACCGATATTTTTGAGTCAGTCTGGAAAATTACCTCGCTTCTAAATGTGTAAGAGAGTCATGAGCAGCAAGAGGAAGACATGTGCTTACTTGCACAGCAGAGCCCTGGGAGCAGAAATGATAAATGTTAAGGGCTCTTGTGAAGCTTTTCAAACAGGCGGGTGAGACATGATGTGTGGTAGGAAGCAGAGAGACTTACCAGCAGCAGAGCACTGGGAGCAGAAGGTGGCGCAGTCGACACAGAAGACGGATAGGGGGTCCTGAGGATTCTCAAAAGGGACTCCAGGATGAAAGGCAGGAGGAAGGCAGAAGGGACTTACCAGAAGCAGAACATTGGGAGCAGAAGGTGGCGCAGTCGACACAGAAGACGGATAGGGGGTCCTGAGGCACCTCACAGGAGGCTGGGGTAGCGGGGCAGGTGAGCGACGTGTTGTCTATGTTACTGCACGGTGTGGGGATGAGAGCGGGAAACAAGGAATCACGAATGTATGTGAATGAAGAACACAGAAGCCAGAAATCGGGCCTGAGGCATCTCACAGGAGGCTGGAGTGGTAGGGCAGGTGAGCAATGTGTTGTCTACGTTACTGCACGGTGGGTTGAGGGAATGAAGATGGATACAGAGAGGGAGTTTTAAGCACAGCGTATGGCAGCGAAGACGAGAGTATGTTGTGGGGGGGGGGAGGGGGGGTGAAATGATAATAACTTGTTCATGCGAAGTGTAGAATGTGGAGAAGTGTTTCGAGACATCTCATATCACTTCCTTTGTCAGAAGCGTCTCTCTAATTGCTGAAGAGGGGGGTCACTGGTATAGCTTCGTTTCCTCTTTGTGCAGGTGGCATGGCAACTCACAGGTAGGCGAGGGTGGTGGGAAGAGACGCGTATGGAAAAGCAACTCACACACACAAATAGCCGAAGAGTCACAGGTCGAGTCGAGATTTGTTTTCTCTGTGTGCAGGTGGCAAGGTAGCTCAGAGGTAGGCAAGGGTGGTGAGGGAACCGAGAGTGGCGGGTATATTTGACCTCAGAGAATTCTCAGAAGCTACTGGCACTGCGCAGGTGGCTACTCACAGGTAAGCGAGTGTGGTGAGGGAACCGAGGGTGGCGGGAAGAGTCGACTAGAAAAAAAAAAAAAACAACTCGCACCTCAGGGCCCAAAATATCACGCCCTGATTACCCTGGGGGCCGGCCGCTTTTTCAGGATTACCCTGCCGAAATCACGATTGCACAATAGTTACCCTTCTCTTAAAAGAGCATGTTTTATTTCACCCTGATAGGTTTTTAGGTTACCCTGACGGAATCAGGGATTGGTGTACACTACCCTGTTACCGAATCTTTTTTAACGCGAATCAGACCATAGTTCGAGTGGTGACAAAACGTACAACACCCCCACAAACACCCGTTGTCGCTTGTGACCACGCGCATGGAAACTTGTTTCGTTGTCGGCAGCACGCCAAGAAACCTCATTGGTTGTTTCTGGCGCAGGACTGCCAACACATTGTTGAACCACGTCAGTTGTCGCCACGCCCACCACCATCACAGCAGAATTGGCTGTCAAGGACAGCTTCAAGCTGTCCTTAACAACAAGTTGCAGCCTCAGTCCTGCCTTGCTGGCCATAACAGAGCCCGCCCCGTGGAAGAAACGGCCCTTTCGAGGCTGCCAGAGGGTCGTTCTCTACGAGGGGGTCTCGCGCTTGGCCCTCATTCTCAACCCTTCTCACGGTTCAACTCCACAATGCCCGCTGGAGAGCCCGATCCACCTGATGGCGCGAGAAACGACCTCTTCGTTCTGGGCGTCTTACCACGCCTTAGCGAGAACTACGCCGTTCCCATCGCACAGCCGCCGCCTCGTGAGCCGTCACTGTTAGAATAGTGGCATAAGTAGGTAGTTGGATTTAAGTGGGCCTAGGCTTAGTAGCCTAGGCCAAGGGTGTGAGGATCTAGGATCGAGCTCAGAAAAGAGAATTGTAATTGAATGATCACCTGGGTACAACACAAGGCTATATATAGGCTCGACACAAGGCCCCGTAACCAGGTGTTACGCGAAGGTTCCGCGGGTCGCGAAGCGTCCCGATCAGATCCTTCCCGAATTCGGTAGAAGGCAATTCGGTGGCAACCGAAAAGCCAGAATTCGGTGCACGCAACCTAGCTCGGTGCTATAACTAGAATATAATATAGGAAAGCACCTAGCCTAGGAAATCAAACAATTCATGCATGCATATAATTATCCTATGCTAGAAATAACATGATAAAGTAAAGGCAAGCAAGCATAGCTGGCATAAGCCGTCGTACTCTCACAAAGGGAGTCGAGCTAGATTTGTGCCAAGGAGAGAGGGGAATGATGTTCACTATAGCACTAGGGTACATATAGCAAACAAAGAGGTGCATCACCTATAAAGTTAATATCTACACTACAGCTAGAACTACATGCAGGTATAAGAATATAATTCTGACATCCCCCCGTAACTGCATGCAGGAATAGCTAAGTGCAGAACACAACCTGCAGGGGTACACCACAGACAGATAAAACAACAACAGCAGGCAAGGCAACAGAGCAGGTACAGCAGCAAAGGGGCAGGCACTCCTACCACCCCTTTACTCTCCTCCCCCCCCCCCCCCCCCCCCACTTCAGGAGGGGCGGCTGGTTGGTCTCACACCCGCCACCCCAGTGCCACTCCCCTGGCTCCCCCACACCCTCACACTCTCCCCCCCAGCGGCAGCTGCAGCAGTGGAAACAAAAGGAGGAGGGGAAGGGAAACACACCACCCATCACCCCCACACCCGCCACCCCCATACCCTCCCCCCCACGGCTGCAGGGAGACGAAGGAAGAGGGGGGGGGGGGGGGGGGGGGGGCGAAGATAAAGCCGCAGAGCGGCTACAGAGGGTCGGCGCGAGTAGGGCAGGGGCGGCTGCAGCGAATTCAGGCGCGGGGTGAGGTAGAGGCGCCGTCGCGGGCGCCAGGGGCGGGTCTGCAGCGGCTCAGGGCACCGTCGCGGGCGCCAGGGGCGGGTCCGCGGCGGCGCAGGGCACCGTCGCGGGTGCCAGGGGCGGGTCCGCGGCGGCTCAGGGTACCGTCGCGGGCGCCAGGGGCGGGTCCGCGGCGGCTCAGGGCACCGTCGCGTGCGCCAGGGGCGGGTCCGCGGCGGCTCAGGGCACCGTCGCGGGCGCCAGGGGCGGGTCCGCGGCGGCTCAGGGCACCGTCGCGGGCGCCAGGGGCGGGTCCGCGACGGGCAGAAAAAACGTCACGCGCCACCCGGGCGCGGGACAGAACGAAAATCGCCACGCGCGCGAGGCGCGCGACCGGAAAAACAGCAGCGGAAGCGTGAGGCTGGCCCACAGGCCAGGACTTAACAGGCTCTGATACCATGTTAGAATAGTGGCATAAGTAGGTAGTTGGATTTAAGTGGGCCTAGGCTTAGTAGCCTAGGCCAAGGGAGTCGAGCTAGATTTGTGCCAAGGAGAGAGGGGAATGATGTTCACTATAGCACTAGGGTACATATAGCAAACAAAGAGGTGCACCACCTATAAAGTTAATATCTACACTACAGCTAGAACTACATGCAGGTATAAGAATATAATTCTGACAGTCACCAGAATGTGTGGTAGGAACGGTCTATCCGTTCGAGCCGCCATACTCACCCATGGCGTGGGAGCCACATCCTGACATAGATTTAGTTCCCAGAGGTGGCGAGGGCTCGTCAAAGCCGCCTACTGCTTTGCCTTCGACTGTCAGCACCGCGCCCGTCAAACGACCGCGCCCAGGAACTACATACAAGCAGCAGACGCTCTGGGGCGCCCCTCCTCCCCGAGACGCTACTTCAAACAAGCGCCATGCTCCTTCGGCCGATCCGAAGCCACCCACCGCTCTGGCAGATGCTGAGTACGAGTCGGTGAAGAAGACGTTTGGCGGTCAGTGGGCAGGTAGTTTCAAATGGTTGCGTTTACTCGGCATGTCTAACAGTCGTCCGTCTTTGAAGTGCACCATTTCTGTGAAGCACGGAGATCCACTAGCGCATACCGCGTATGGGGCGAAGGGTGAGGGTGCGCGGGATCTCCAGATTGGCAGCATCCGCACTCACTCCGCGACCCGTGCACACAAGAACGTGGTGGAGAATCAGGAGAAGGCGGAGGCGGAGAAGGCGAAGCAGGCCACACTCACTCGGTGGCAGACCACGGACGCTTCCACCCGTCACATCATTCGGCTCCTCCACATCGCGCTCTTCGTCTGCAAGGCGGACGCACCCATAGCGATGTTCGTCCCGCTGTGCTGGTTTCTATCGAAGGAGGGGTTACCAGACCTTCCTCCCGGTGGCGACTACGGCACATACTACACAGAGTAAGTGGTGGCAAGTGTAGGTGAAACTGGTGTACTCTGTATTATGCACTCTGTGATTTGACAACCTGTGTTTCCCCCTGGCAGTTACGGATTCAAGGAAAACCTGCGCGCACTCTCAACATACCTTCAAGAAACACAACGTCTGCACCTGCTTGAATCCCCGTGGATAGGGATCTCCCTCGACGAGAGCACGGACCGGGTGCATGGGAAGCACCTCATTCTTTACGCCACGTTCTTCCAGCGCAACAGAGTTCTTAACTCTCATTACTGTTGACCGTTGTGACGGTGCCTCACTCACATCGGCTGTCATGTAGTATCTCACAGGTATCGGTGTCGACCTCCAGAAGATCTCCAGCGTCGCCTCTGATGGTGCCAGCGTGATGGTCGGCAAGAACCGCGGAGTCGTGACACGGCTGCGAATGCGCATTCCGCATCTCGCCTCAACACATTGTATCGCTCACTGGTAGGCGTCACCGTTTTGTGCTCCGTGCTGCAGTCACTACATGAGATTCCATAGACTTACCCTCTGTCTCTGTGCCGTTATGTACAGGGAGGCACTCGCTGCTAGTGATGCTGCTGAAGAGGTACCTGAGCTGCTAATGATTGACGATGTCGTGCGCGCCTTCGCTGACCACATCGGCCGCAGCAGCGTGGACTACCAGAAGTTTCAAGTTATGCAGCGGATATTCTGCCAAACGAATCTAGAGGCGCAGGGGATTAGCGATCGTGGTGAAGCGATCCAGCGCCTGCTCGACGTGCTCCCTGCGGCCATAGTGGTGCTGAAGGATTACAAGGCGGAACTGTACGAGGTGGTTACCTCGCTCAAGTTCCACTAGCTCATCCGCTTTCTTGCGGATGTGCTGTGGGAACTAAACTGCCTCAACCAGCGCTTCCAGCAGCGGCAGGTAAGCGCCTTTGTCGCTGTCTTTTATGTTGTTGCAAGCCTTCTTGTGCACTACCTGACTCCTTCTCATGCCCTGGTGCAGGTGGACGTTACCCTTGTTGCGCACATCGTGCAGCAGACAAGGATGCGTCTGAAGACGCGGTATTCCCTCCGCGACCCTTCACACCATTTCGGCGGCGGGGAGAAAATGCAGCTTCCCGAGTTCATTCAGAGGCACCAGGCGAAGGATAAACGCGAGATGAAGGCGGAGGGCGTGGACGGGGACGGGAATCCCGTCACGTTTGAATTCACGCTGCACGAGCGCCCGCTCCCATGACATGAAACGGATGGCGATGTCACGGCGTGCGTCGAGCTGTCGATCAAGTACGTGCGCGCCATTGACAAAGAGCTGGAGTGGCGGATGCGCGACCTGCAGCTGCTGGAAGGTACGAAGCTGTTTCGCACAGCTTCGTACGTGCCCGACGACACGAAGCGCGTGGAAACTTTCAAGAAGTGGCTCGGCCAGCTGCACAAGTTGTACCACAACAAGTTGCCAGGTAAGCCTTGTGCAGCGATAGCAAAACTTCTGACGTGAGATGTCTCAACAAATTACGCATTGAGGATAACCCGTGCACGCAAACCTGTCCGATGCTTGTTGGACTAATGCCCCCCATTCCTACCCGTGTCTGCGAGCATCGGCCAAGCTTTCACCCCAACCCCGCCCCACCACAGGGTTTGACTATAAGAGAGCCCAGCGGCAGCCTAGGCGACACAAGCCTGGAGCATCTGATGCGTTGCTCCCTGCTGCGGTACGAGGTCGACTGGTTTGAGGTGGTCGCCATCTTTCGTGGAGAGAAGCTGAGGCGATTCACCAAGGAGTTTGACCCCACCAGGGCTTCGCAGACCCAGTTTGTAGAAGAAGATGTAGGCAGTCAGGGTGGCACTGAGTAGGTGTTTTGTGCATGTGTTGCGTGTGTAGACTTCATGGACTCTGAATGTGCTACTTGTGAATGTCATTAAAAATAAGTTAACTCACAATATAGATACAAAAACAGGCTTAGCCTAAAACTACCCTGCTCAAATCAAGCTAGTGGTAGCTTTACCCTGCTGAAAACAGGGTATGAAAATTTCTACCCTAGGGGCCTGGTTAAGGAGGGGCTGGTACCCTAATTCGTAAGGGTAGGCCTAAACCAATTTTGGGCCCTGTCGCACCTTCATAAATCTTTGCTTTTGCTTTTGGTGGGTTAGCATACTGTCAAATGTAATTCTATGCTTGTAGGCTACAGTGAGTAGCACAATAGGGAGTACAGTTGTTAGGGTTGCATATTTGTACTTCCACACTTCCTAGTTTCATGCATTCCGTTGCATTCCTATTCTGAGATGGTATCACGAGTAGGTTAGAGCCTCGTTCGTTTTTTTTTTTTTTAACTAGCCTCCACGCCCTACACGCCCTCCGTGCTCTCGCGCCCTCCGCGCCCTCCGCGCCCTCCGCGCCCTCCGCGCCCTCCTCGCGCCTAGCCCGCGCCCTCCCGCGCTGTCCAGCCTGTCGCGCGCCCTCCTTAGACCTCCGCGCGCCCTCCCCCACCGTTGCGCGCCCTCCAAAACCGTCGTGCGCCCTCCTTAGACCGCCGCGCGCCCTCCCTCATCGTCGCGCGCCCTCCTCAACCGTCGCGCGCCCTCCTTAGATCGTCGCGTGCCCTCCCCTCCGCCTGTCGCGCGCCCTCCTCCGTCAACGCTTCCCGCACACCAGCGTGCGCTTACCGCACACCTGCGTGCGCTTACCGCACACCTGCGTGCAATTACCGCATCACTCTGTGTGCGCTTCCCGCACACCTGCGTGCACTCCCCGCACACCTGCGTGCCCTTACCGCATCACTCTGTGCGCTTACTGCATCTCTCTCCCCTTCACCTGTGCACCGGTCCCACGCCATTCCTACTGCACTTGGCTCTCGGCTCAGCGGCTGGCAGCCGCTCTTCCCTCTGGTAGCGCCACCTAGGTTCGGTTAGAGCCCCGCCCCACGACTATTTTCTCGCCGACTGTCTCTCGTCGTTTTCCCCGCTGGCGTCCCTAGCCCTCCGTAGTTTTCCTCCTCGTTCTTAGCTTCGCCTCCGCCGTGCTCCAGTCGCCTCTAGCATGGGCTCCGCTATGGAGGCCCGTCGCCTCCGTTTCGATGCTGAGGGACGCCCGATCGAGTTCGGTACCTGGCAGCGCCAGACCACACGTTTCCTCACCAGCCAGCGTCAGGACGGCGCCACTCTGTGGGCCCACGCGTCGGGTGCTCTCGCGGCACCCCCGTCCCCCGCCGCCCTGCCGACCGCCCCGGAGCCCACTCCTACGGCCCAGGCGGACTACGACCGTCGGGTCCTGGTTCGGGACGTGTGGTTCTCTCGTGACGCGGCCGCCGCCCTCACGCTATCGGAGCTTCTCCCCCCGACTGAGGCCGCTCACTTTGACCAGGTGGAGACAGCCAAGGGGGTTTGGGATGCTATTGTGGCTCGCTATTCCACCCCCTCCTCCGCCTCCCTCAGTCGCCTCCTCATGCCGTTCGTGTTTCCCGACCTAGGCTCGTTTGCGACTGTTTCCGACCTAGTGACTCACCTCCGCTCGCTTGACGCCGGTTTTCGTTCAGCCTGTACCGACGCACAGCTCCTTGTTGCTTCCCCCCCCATGTGGCTCACTGTGCACTGGTTAGTCACCCGCCTCCCTGATCGCCTTGCCACTGCCCGCGACGCGCTTCTTCAGAAGCACCCCACTGAGCTCACTATAGACCTCCTTCAGACTGCTCTCGGGACCATCGAGAGCAGCCTCCTCACCGTTGCCTCCGCCACTGATGCGGTGGCCCCCCGTCTCTTTGCGGGGTGTGCCGCCCCTCAGCTTCCCACTTTCACCTCTACCCGCGCTTCTGCTGCTGTGTCGGTCTCTGAGGACACCGCTGCCGTTTCTGCCGCAGACTGGCAGAAACGGGGCAAGAGTGGCAAGAAGGGCGGGAAGGGGGGAGGTGGGGGCGGTGGAGGTGGCGGTGGAGGTGGCGGTGGAGGTGGGAGCGGCGGTGGTGGCGGAGGCGGCGGCGGCGGTGGTGCGCCAGGGGGAGGGGGCCTTGGAGGAGGTGCAGGACAGACAGGCCCACCCCCAGGTGGTGGCCCGACCGGTGGGGGCGTTGTCCCCCAGCAGCAGCAGCCACAGCAGCACCAGCCACAGCAGGGACAGCAGCAGCAGCAGGCACCGCAGCAGTTCCAGCAGTGGGGGCCCCCGCTGCAGTGGGGTCCGCAGCAGCACTGGGGTCCTCCGCCGCAGTGGGGTCCGGGAGGCCCTGGGAGCACCGGCCGCAGCAGCAGCTCTTCCAGCTGGGCCCCTCGCCCCCCTCGCCGTGACGCTGGCCCCTGCACCCACTGGTGCCTCACCGGGCCGGGCAGCCCCTGTCTCTGTGGTCGCGACGACCACTGTGCCGTGCGGTGCTTCCGCCGCCTCGACGACCTCTACCGGGCTCGTTGGGGCCCTCTGACGGTCACGCCTCGCTGGTCTCGCCTGTTAGCCCGTAAGATTGATGTCTTTGATTTGTCCATGGACGATGCGCGTCAGCATGATTTGTATGTTGATGCTGACTTTAGTGCTGATGGGTCGGTGTGCTCGCGTGTTCGTAGGTTAGCCTGCTTGCCTCCTGCTAGTGTAGCCTTGTGCCTGTCTAGCTTAGGTGCTTGTGTTGCTGCTCTAGGTGCTTGTGTAGCGACTCGGTCAGGTGACCCTCCGGCTGAGGCCTCTCTGTCGTTCACGCTGGACTCGGGCGCGTCTCAGTGCTTCTTCCGCGACCACACGACCCTTACGCCACTCCTCACCCCTGTGTCGGTGGCTCTGGCTGATCCTACCTCTGGACCAGCCGTTGCGCGTAGCTCCACCACCCTCCCGTGCCCTGTGGTCCCCTCTGGTGTCCTGCGCGACCTCCACATCCCCTCGTTCACTCGGAACTTGGTGGGTGTTGGATACCTCCAGGACAGGGGGATCACGGTTACCTTCGTGGGGGGTGGGCGGACTGCAGTCTGTACTGACGCTACCACAGGTGCTGTTCTGGCCACTTTCACCAGGGAGCCCCGCTCCGGTCTCTACGTTCTCCACACCGAGCGCTCCCCGGTCGCGTCCTCCCCTCAGGTCGCTGCGTCCCCTCCGGCCCAGGTCTCCAGTCCAGTTGCTGTGTCTAGCCAGGTAGTCGTGTCCAGTCCGGTCGCTGTGTCCAGTCCAGTCGCTGCGTCTTGCTCCTGTCGCTCTCTTGCCCACCGCACCGTCCTGTGGCACCACCGCCTTGGCCACCCGTCGATCCCTCGCCTTCGTGGCATGCTCAGTCAGGGACTTGTCACAGGTCTCCCACGCACCTTTCCGTCGCTCCCTCTCTCGCTTGCCCCTCCTTGCTCTCCGTGCGTCGCCGGTCGCTTACGCGCCACTCCCCACTCTTCCTCCCTTCGTCCGGCCATCGCTCCCTTCGAGACTCTCCACTTGGACGTCTGGGGCCCTGCCCCGACGCAGGGGTCTGGGAGAGAGCGTTACTTTCTGGTGGTCGTCGACGACTACTCCAGGTTCACCACCGTGTTCCCTCTTGCGAAGAAGTCCGAGGTGACTGCTACGCTGATCAGGTGGCTTCTAGCCACTGAGGGCACTCGTGGTCGTCGAGTCAGTTGTCTTCACTCCGACCGTGGGGGCGAGTTTCGCTCCGGCATTCTCGGCGGATTCTGCGGCGAACAGGGCATCACCAAGTCCTGGACGCTGCCAGAGTCCCCACAGCAGAATGGGGTTGCTGAGCGCCGCATAGGCTTGGTCATGGACATCGCCCGCACGTCCATGATCCATGCCCGTGCGCCCCATTTTCTGTGGCCTCACGCGGTTCGCTACGCCGCACACCAGCTGAACCTCCAGCCGCGTGTCTCGCGGCCCGAGGCTTCACCGACCAGTCTTTGGACTGGTTCCCCTGGTGTTGGGTCGGCCTTTCGAGTCTGGGGCTGCCTTGCACTTGTTCGCGACACCTCCGCGGACAAGCTCTCGGCACGCGCCGTCCTCTGTGTCTTCCTTGGTTTCCCAGTGGACTCTGCCGACTGGTCCTTTTACCACCCGCCCCTCCACCAGTTCCTAGACTCCCGTGACGTCCGGTTTGACGAGTCTGTGTCCTACTACACCCGGTACCCCTGTCGAGGTCTCCCGGTACCCCCTCCCCCCCTGTTCCTAGCACCCTCTCCTCCTCCTGCTCCTGCTCCTCCGGTACCCCCGCCCCCCCCTGGTCCTGCCCCGTCTGGTGTGTCTCACGCTACCCCTCTACCCTCGGTCGCGCGTCAGGTAGCGTCTCCCTCCCCGCAGTCCTCCTCACAGTCCCCTCAGCAGCCTTCGGCACTTCCGCGACAGGTTACTGTGGACTCGGTTGGTGTTGGAGCTGGAGGTGCAGCCGCTGGCGGTGCTCGGTCTGGGGGTGCTCGGTCGCGGGGTGCTGGAGCTGGAGGTGCTGGCGCAGGTGGCGCTGGCTCTGGGGGTGCTGGAGCTGGAGGTGCTGGCACTGGAGGTGCTAGTTCTGGGGGTGCTGGAGTTGGCGGTGCTGGCACTGGCGGTGCTAGTTCTGGGGGTGCTGGAGTTGGAGGTCCTGGCACTGGAGGTGCTGGTTCTGGGGGTGCTGAGTCTGAGGAGACTGACGCTGGAGACTCTGGTTCTGCAGAGTCCACTCCGCCTCCCCACCGCCACGACACGCGTCTCCAGGCTGCCCGTCGGCGTGAGCGTGAGGAGCAGGAGCGGTTGGAGAGGGAGCGGCAGGAGCTGCGGGTGCTGGACCTTCTGGAGCAGCAGCGGCAGCAGCAGCAGCAGCAGCAGCAGCAGCAGCAGCCGCAGCCGCAGCCGCAGCCGCAGCAGCAGCAGCCGCAGCCGCAGCCGCAGCAGCAGCAGCCGCAGCCGCCACCGCAGCTTCCTCTGGAGCGGCAGTTGTTCCCACCTGTGAGTGGCATGCGGGCCCTTGGCCTTTCCTCCTCTCCTCCTGTCCGCTCCCAGTCTCCTCCTGTGTTTGTTCCTCCGTTGCCTCCTCCTGACGACCGTCCGGCGGTCTGGTCTTCTCCTCCTCCTCGGTCTCCTCCTCACTCTGTCCGTCACGACTTGATCACTCGTTGTCCTCCGCGTGCTCGTCACTCGTCCCCTGTTACTGACCTCCACACCGCCCTCTTTTGTTCGTCTAGTCGTCGTTCTTGTTCTCCTGTGTCCGTTCTCCCGTCTCCTCCTCCGTCCTCTCTCCCAGCCCTCCCCACTCCTATAACTGACTACTACCGCACTGTTCGTCCTGTTGCCGCACGTGTCCTCGCCACTCTTGTCACCGACTCTCGTTTCCCTCCGTCGTCTGCCTCGGCTCTTACTGCCGCTGTCGCTGAGTTTGCTGCCGCCAGCCGCCTTGACTACGCCACCCGGGTGGTGCCAGCTCCTCCCTACCGTCCTCTGTCCGTCGGGGGTGGGTTTGCCCTTGGCTGTGACGTCCTAGAGGACAGAGAGTCTGAGCTGGAGTACTGGGCAGCCGCTTCTCCCTCTGTGTGTGCCATGCTGCTCTCCCCTGAGGGAGACCCCGACGCCCTTGACATACCGAATCCTCGCACTTACCGCGAGGCAGTGTCAGGGGCGTGGGCCTCTCAGTGGAAAGCGGCTATGGACTCAGAGTTGGCGTCTTGGAGATCCACAGGCACCTACGTCGACGCAGTTCCCCCTCCCAGGGCGAACGTAGTCGATGGCATGTGGCTCTTCAAGGTGAAGCGGCCGCCTGGAGCACCGCCGGTGTTCAAGGCGCGCTACGTGGCTAGGGGCTTCAGTCAGCGTGAGGGAGTTGACTTCTTCCAGACCTTCGCCCCGACCTCGAAGATGACTACTCTTCGGGTGTTACTCCACATAGCAGCGCAGCGAGACTACGAGCTGCACTCCCTCGACTTCTCCATTGGGCTCCTCCAGGGCCGACTGCACGAGGAGATCTGGCTGCGCCGTCCTCCTGACTTCACTGACACCTTCCCACCTGGGACCCAGTGGAGCCTGAGGCGACCAGTCTACGGTCTCCGCCAGTCGCCCCGTGAGTGGCACGACACTCTTCGCTCCACGCTTCGTGACCTTGGGTTCAGCCCGTCCTCCGCCGACCCGTCGCTGTTTGTTCGAGCGGGTTCTACTCCTTTCTTTATCCTTGTCTACGTCGACGACTTGGTGTTTGCTACAGCTGACAGGGCAGCCCTGGCTCAGGTGAAGTCCGAACTGCAGAAGAGACACAAGTGCACTGACCTGGGTGAGCTGCAGCGCTACCTTGGCCTGCAGATCACCCGGGACAGAGCCGCTCGCACCATCACACTGACCCAGTCACACATGGTGCAGCAGGTCCTTCGGCGGTTCGACTTCCAGTTCTCCACCACACAGCCCACTCCTCTTGCTGTTGACCACAGACTCACGGGCCCCTTTCCTGACGAGCCCTTCGAGTCCAGTGGACCCTACGCAGAGCTGGTGGGCTGCCTCATGTACCTGATGACTTGTACTCGACCGGACCTCGCCTTTTCCCTCAGCATCCTTTCTCGCTTTGTTGCGACTGGGAGACACCGCCCTGTCCACTGGACAGCTGCTGTGAGGGTGGCGAAGTACTTGGCGACTACATCAGGCATGGGGCTTGTGCTTGGAGGGACTCAGCCAGTGGCGTTGATTGGTCACTGCGACTCTTCCTACGCTGACGGCGTGGAGACTCAGCGCTCGACTCAGGGTTACTGCTTCAGTCTGGGAGCTGGTGCTGTGTCGTGGAGGTCTACACGGTCGTCGTCTGTGGCTACTTCCAGTGCAGAGGCAGAGATCTACGCTGGTGCCATGGCGGCACAGGAGCTTCGCTGGTTGACCTTCTTGCTCGCCGACCTTGGTGAGCGGCCTCGCTCTGCACCGACCTTGTACGCGGACAACAAGGCCATGATCCTCCTGTGTCGAGAGCCTCGACTGGAAAGCAGAGTGAAGCATATTGACGTGAGGTACTTCCTTCTGCGAGAGCTGCAGCGACGCGGCCAGGCACGCCTGGACTTTGTGGCCTCAGAGGCCAACACTGCAGACGTCTTCACCAAGGCCTTGGCGCTTGGTGATCACCACAGGTTCTGTGTGCAGTTGGGGCTTGTTGAGGTAGGCCTTCGGTTGCTGTCGTCTTGTTGTTTGCTCTACTTGTTGTGCTTCCTATTTATATCCTAGTGAACTCTTGAACTGGCCTTGTGGCCACTTGCTTGCGCTCGGAATTTGTGTGGTGTCCTTGAGATCCACCCTGAGCTTGCCTTGTTTCTTGCTTTGACTGGTCTTGTGACCGTTTGTTCACCTTGCTTGCTTTGATGCCCCTCACTTAGCCTATGGGGGTGTGTCAAATGTAATTCTATGCTTGTAGGCTACAGTGAGTAGCACAATAGGGAGTACAGTTGTTAGGGTTGCATATTTGTACTTCCACACTTCCTAGTTTCATGCATTCCGTTGCATTCCTATTCTGAGACATACCTATTTGCTTGTCTTTGTTTGTGAACAACTTTCATGAAAACATAATTCATGGAAGAAAGTTCCTCTATCAACGTAGTATTGACGTGAATAGTATTTCTTGCGACGAGACAAGTGATCAACAAGACTCTGCGCATTTAAGTGTGGGACTACTCTAGTGCGTATTCACTTGGAGGATCTTTATAAAACTGTGGACCCTTGGAAGCGGTCGGCCAGGTGGAGATCTGCCAGACTCCGCCAGACAGGCACAGTCATCCTTCTGGTTCTCGAAAGTTTTGCCTTGAGACGGGAAAAGACTCGATATCTGCAGTCCCAGACAAACTGTATAAGGATGTCTAAGAATTCAGATAAATACAAAAACATTGTCTTAAAAATCAGATGAGTTTAAACGACATGACTAGGCCATCAGATGAACCATAAAAAACGTGTCTGAAATCCACACAAACAGACGAGAAATTTCTGATAACGTAGGCCCTGGCGGTCAGGTGGAGATCTCATTGCGTGAGGTAGAACCTTCCCTAACGTTGAACTTCTTGGCCCGCGGGTTTTAAGTAGTACAACTAATGCTCGTTTGGCGCACCCAACCTTGCCTTATGCTTTGGGCTTATAAGCGGTTTTTGCATTTCGCAAATGTTTCGTCAATTCGCACCAGGCAAAAAGGGCTTATAAAAAGCAAGTGTAACCCACCATTGACTGTTTGACTTCAGTCTTTTCAGTCAAACCTCGGTTTCTGTTGTTAGTATTGGCTGATTTAGGTGGCAACTTGTTAGAGGTGCTTGTAAATGGGGTGCAACTTCACGGAACAAAACCAACCGGGTGCAAGGTTTCCATCCGGTGCAAGGCAAATTCGCGTGCAGGAGGTGAGCATCACCTGTACGCATAGAATGAACTAAGGGCTATTAGTAGCCAACAAGCAATCACGAGCACGAGGTAGATTCCGTACGTGTCTTGCGTGTAGACTGGAGAACAATGGCGGGCGAGGGACAGAAGGAAGCAGGCAATCACGGCAGACGTTAGTTCAGCAGGCAATCACAGCAGGAAATCACAGCAGGAAATCACAGCAGGCAATCATACCAGGAAATCACAGCAGGCAATCACAGCACGCAATCACAGCACGCAATCACAGCGCGCAATCACAGCACGCAATCACAGCACGCAATCACGGCAGGAGAGACCAGCATGAGTCGAAGTCAAGCGTGGTTCGGTCCTGTTTTGCTGCAAGTTCCAGCAGCAAGGTGACTTTTGAGTCGACTCAGGACGCGGTGAAAGTAGACGTTCGATCGTCAGCAGCGATCGATGTGCCGATCGGTTACCCTATTAACTACGTTGTAACTATGCTACAGTAAGCTTTCTGGCCAAAATTTTTGTACAGTGTGAGAATGCGACTGATCACTTTTCGCGGGAAATCTGTCAATTTTCAGCCGCGATCGTTACAACTTCGCGGTCGCCACGTTTCGCCAAACGATCTGCCCACTCGATTGTGGGGATCGATATATGCAGACGATCCTGCGATATTTGCACTTTCAACGCGTCCTCAAAAGTCACCTCGGTTCGGTCCTGTTTTGCTGTTAGTTCCAGCAGCAAAATCACTCATCCCCGTTTAGATGATTTTGCAGCCGTTGGATTATCTCCAGTGACATACACATTCCCAACAGTAAAATTACGCGCATGACTCACTCGGACTATAATCGGAGGATTCCCAGCCGTCAGATCCGTCGTCCGTGAAAGTGCCGTCGATGGATTCCCAGCCGTTAAAACTGTCGTCCGTGACTGTGCCGCCCAACATGACCTGTCTCGAATTCGGGTGAGGGGTGTGTTGGGCGAGAGCAGAGAGAATGGGAAGTGAAGTGAAGAGAAGAGAAGTGAACTGAACTGAATGGAGCACCTTGAGAATGAGAAGAGAAGTGAACTGAATGGAGCGAAACGATGTGAGGCGAGAGGCAGTCGGTGGCGACGAAAAAATGAAGCGACACGGTACGCGTCGACTACTACTAGGGACACGGGACAAGGGACACGGGGCTTAGGGCGTTATCATACACACCCACCTCGGGACTGACGAACGGCTGGGAGCCGTCATCGTTAGTCTGGTAGGAGTTGGTCGACATGTCCCACCAAATACGCCCGCTGCTCTCCCCCGTCGGGTCGCCCTGGATCCCCCGCCGGGTCTCCGTGTCTCCGCCCAACGATTTGACTTTTGAGTCGACTTGGGGAGCATGCGCAGCTCTGCTTGAAGACGCCCCGGATCCCCCGGATCCCCCTGTCTCCGTGTCTCCGCCCAACGAGTTCTCGAAATTTCCAGTCACATCCTGGCCGGACCCCTCGGTCGAGGTCCCATAGTAGATTAAGTACTCCTTCGAATAGGCCAGTATCAGGCCGCCCTGGTTCGCAATGTCCGTCGCGCCCTCCACCTCGCGCCGCTGCTGCTGGTGCTGAAGCTTCCCGAGAGGCAGCCTGAGAGGGACGAACCGCGTCGCGGACGCGCTTTGAGTCGTTGCAGTGGAATTCCGTACTATTGCGTATGGGGACTCGGCGGATCGCGCAGAACTCGCGCCACGAAGGGGAATGAGCCTTGCTCCCGGAGGGGCGGCGGAAGCGGCGGAAGGGAGAGCGGAGGGTTGCGGAACCCCCGCCGGAGTTGCAGAAGCGCTGTTCGGCTGCAATGCGGGCGTTTCAGAAAGAGAGACGGAGATCTGGTCGCTGGGTCCCCGCATTGGACGCCGTATTGCCCGCCAAGGGATACTAAATTCCTGCGCAGCCTTACCGCTCGTCGCCACGCCTTCAGGCGACGCTTTTCGTGCGGCGGAGGCAGAAACCGCCGGAAGCATTGTTATGAGCGTGACGAGAAAGGTAAGTGCCACTATTGTGGGAAATGCACCCATCTTTGGACCCATGCTAACTCAGTGAGTCACAGCTGTGAATATCACGCGAGCGTGGGCCACGTGAGTGACGGAAAGGCAGACCCAGGGGTTTTGAAGAGGCTATTCGCAAGACGTGTCGGCCGCCGACACAAGTTAGGGTTTGACGATCTTGTGCGGCACAAGATAGAGCTTTCGACACGAAGATAAAGTGATCGTTGAACGATGAAGTACGATTTGTGTCAGTGACGTGAGAGAGGGTAATACGATATCGGATTGGTCTGTGTTGGCAGCATGGAGACAGCTTCGACTGTTTTATAACTCGATATGCAACTCGAGAGCTCGGCAGGGGAAGCAGAGCCCGACTCAACTCGTTGACCCTGCGTTGACCTGCGCCTCAACTTCCGTGGCTGTCACGTCACGACGAACATTGGAGGTTGTTGGAAGTTTCCATGCCTAAGTGGTGGGGGGAGCTTGTGGTGGAAAACTCCTGGGCCCTGTTCGACTGGCGCATCAGGGTTTAGGCTCGGGTACAAGGCCTAAACCCTGATGCGCCAGTCGAACAGGGCCCTGGAGCGGAAAGGGAGGATACACGGGCGTGAATCGAATCGCGAAGTCCCACACACGCATGCGACCCGCTTGATCCAACCTCGTTTTCGGACGAACTTCGCTGGTGTTGGTGCACCATCGGCTTCCTCGCAAATTCTGATGTGGCACATACAACCTTGCCCAATGTGCAACAGTACACTGTTCTATGACAGACGTGATGAACGTAGAGGTTCAAATAAAATGGCAATACAAACTAATAAAGACAATGCAGGTGCAAGGTGTGCATAGCTTCTAGCAGAAACACCACCATGCGCAGATCCCCCCTCCTATGTTCACCTTAATTTTGTGTTTACTAGCTGAGAACGAAGTAATTATGCTAATCAACTGACAACAATAAAGATAGCTCATCATACAGTCATACTCCACAAAATCATGTTGATATTGACATCAACTCGCATTAAAAGGCAGCAATCAGGAGGGCTAGCACGAAAGCCGTTATTGCATTGGCGTGGAGGGCTCTCACAGCCACTGGCGAGGCAGGTTTCGGTGCTGGTGCTGGTGCTGGTGGTGCTGCTGCTGGTGGTGCTGCTGCTGGTGGTGCTGCTGCTGGTGGTGCTGGTGGTGGTGATGGTGATGGTGGTGTTGTTGTTGGTGGTGGGGATGGTGAGGATGGGATGGGTGGGCTGATGGAAGGAGATAGTGCTGATGGTGGCGTTGGCGCTGGTGATGGTGGCCCTGCGGGTGGTGATGCTGCTGGTGCTGCAGTTGGTGGTTGGGATGGTGGAGGCGGGACGGGCGAAGGTACTGGTGCTGATGGTGATGGTGCTGCTGGTGGTGGTGCTGGTGGTGGCTGGATCGGCGGGGCTTGTGGAGCTTCGGAGTTGGCATAACAGGCAGGGAAAAGAGGGAATAGGAATGACAAACATCAGTCATATGACAAAATAAACAACGGATCTAGGGACAGGATTATGCAACTGACTCGGAAAGATACGGAAGCGAAGGGACTGTGGAGCTAGGTGTCTGTCAAGGGAATGGAAGAAGAGTGAATGGATTCGGCCAAGGGACAAGGGTTTGGTAGCAGCAGGAGAAGTTGAAGGAGGAGTAGGAGGGACTCTGGGTGGGCAGGGGGAAAGGCTGACAAGTGGAAGAGCAGGTGACATGGCATGTGGGGGATTTACAATGTTAAGAGAGAGCTATGGATCTGACTGCACGTCTACAGATGAATTTTGAGTTGACTCAAAACGAAGTGACTTTTGAGACGACTCAAAAGTCAATTTGAAGGGAGAGCCATGGATCTGACTGCACGTCTAAAGATCTAGATGGTCACGAGCCGAAGGAGGAAGGTTGAATGGCGTCCTTGAAACTTTTCAAAACAGGTAAGTGAGACATGAGCTGCGGCAGGAAGCAGAGAGGCTTACCTGCAGCAGAGCACTGGGAGCAGAAGGTGGCGCAGTCGACACAGAAGACGGATAGGGGGTCCTGAGGCACCTCACAGGAGGCTGGGGTAGTGGGGCAGACGAGCGACGTGTTGTCTACGTTACTGCACGTGGGATGAGGGAGTGACAAAGGGTGGGAGAGTGGGGTCTCTTAGAAGAAGACGCGGCAGTTGACACAGAAGACGGAAAGCGGGTCCTGAGGCACCTCACAGGAGGGCTAGGGTGGTTGCGGAGGGGAGCAATGTGTTGTCTATGTAACTGCACGTGGGGTGCAGGAGGGAAGAAGGATAGGAGACTGGGGTTTCGAGAAGAAGGTGGGGCGGCTGATATGGAAGCCGTTTCAAGAAGCGGGTCCTGAGGCACCTCACAGTTTCTGGGGTAGCACGGCACGTGAGTGAGTGCTGTCTATGTTACTGCACATGGGACGAGGGAGGGAACAAGGACTAGAGAAGCGGATTTCAGGGATAGGGTATGGAAGCGAGGTTTTGACAATTCACAGGTACACAAGGGTGAGCCGAGGGAGCCGAGAGAGCCGAGGGCAGAGCTTGTGTGTGTCACTTTACAGAATTCTCAGAAGCAACTCGCTGAAGAGTCACAGGTCAGCTTTTGTTTCCTCTGTGCAGCTCACAGGTATGCGAGGGTGGTGAGGGAACCGAGGGTGGCGGGAAGGTGCGACTCTTGAAGCAATTCTGTCACCAGTGAGGCACAAGGCACTCACAAATCGCTAAAGACTGACAGGTTGTTTCTCTTGTGCAGGTGCTTTTGAGTCGACTCAAATAAAGACTGACAGGTTGTTTCTCTTGTGCAGGTGCTTTTGAGTCGACTCAAATAAAGACTGACAGGTTGTTTCTCTTGTGCAGGTGCTTTTGAGTCGACTCAAATAAAGACCGACAGGTTGTTTCTCTTGTGCAGGTGGCGACTCAAAGGTACGCGAAGGTGGTGAGGGAACCGAGGGTGGCAGAAGGTGTGACTCTTGAAGCAATTCTGTCACCACTGAGTTACAAGGCATTCACAAATTGCTGGCAAGCAACTCACAGGTACGCGAGGGTGGTGAGGGAACCGAGGGTGGCGGGAAGAGGGCCTGTGAAGGCGTTGTACTCAAGGCTCCTGCATGGCCGTGATAGTTGGGTTGGGAGCAGTGATGTTTGGGGTTGAAAGAGGCGAGATGGAGTGGGGAAACAAGGGTAAGGAAACGAGGGGGGGGCAAGTGGGAGGCGGGAAGAGGGCCTGTGAAGGCGCTGTACTCGAGGCTCCTGCATGCATGGGCGTGACAGATGGGAGAGCAGTGATAAGCGGGATAGAGTTGGGCAAGATGGAGAGAAGGAGCAAGAATGGGGCGGAGAAGGCTAAGGATGGGATAGAGGTCGTTTTTCTGCACAGAAGAGAGTTCAAAAGAGAAGAGGGACTGGCAGGCAGTAAGGTAAGGCTGAGGAGAATGCGAATAAAGGTTACATTTGAGGAGCCTAAAAAGAAGAGAGTGAAAGGATGAGATGAAAGAAAAAGAGAAGAGAGGGGAGCGACTGACAGGAAGGTGAGGTTGAGGAGAGTGCCGATCGAGGAAGGGATGAGGCCGGATAAGTTATTCCTGCTGACGTCCCTGTGGAATTGCATGGGAAGGAGATAGGGGAAGGAAACGGACAAGGGAGGGGAGAGGGGAGTGATTCCACAAGAGAAGGGATGAGCGCTGATAAGATATTATTGCCCATGTCCCTGTATGTAAGGGTTCATGGAAAGGTGGGAGAGGGAGAGCACGAAAGTATCTAATGAAAGAGAAGGTGGGAGAAGGAGAAGGTGGGATACTTCTATAGTGAGCCCTCAGAGAGGCATGTTCTGCTGCTCGAGGCCTGCTTTGAAGGAGCCTCAGGAATCATGCATTGCACAAAGGGCGCCAGCTGGATCCTGAGGCTCGTTGCTCTTATAGGTGCGATATCTGAAGGCAGTTAATCATGCCCGCTGTGGTCTCCCATGGCCCCCAAGGTACCCAAAGTGACTGGCATCTCACAGTGTTTCCATGAGGGACAGGCCGCCAATCCAATCGGGGAGAGAACCGGCGAAGCGGTTACTGCCGAGTGCACTGCAGAAAGGAAGGGAAGGAGAAGCCAGAAGAAGAGAGGGAGGAGAGGGGAAGGTGGTGGAGAGGGTGGGAGGTGGTGAGGAGGAGGCTGCAAGAGAGCAACAAAGAGAGCTGGCGAAAAATATTTGCCCATTGGGCTGGCGAAACGCATTTGCCCATTGGGCTGGCGAAACGCATTTGCCCATTGGGCTGGCGAAACGTATTTGCCCATTGGGCTGGCGAAACGTATTTGCCCATTGGGCTGGCGAAACGTATTTGCCCATTGGGCTGGCGAAACGTATTTGCCCATTGGGCTGGCGAAACGTATTTGCCCTTTGGGCTGGCGAAACGTATTTGCCCATTGGGCTGGCGAAACGTATTTGCCCTTTGGGCTGGCGAAACGTATTTGCCCATTGGGCTGGCGAAACGTATTTGCCCATTGGGCTGGCGAAACGTATTTGCCCATTGGGCTGCGGAAAGTAAAGGACGGGAAAGCAGGAGGCGCTGCGGAAAGGAAGGAACGGGAAAGCAGGAGGCGCTGCGGAAAGGAAGGAACGGGAAAGCAGGAGGGGAGGGAGGTGTGTCACAGGAGCCTATTTTTGAGTCAACTCAAAAATGAATGAACGAATAGGGTGTGTCACAGGAGTGAGAGTGAGTAACGCAGCATCTGTAACGTAGCAGGAGTGAGGTGCTTGCAGCATGGAAAGACGAGAGAGTGGTGAGAATACATTTCAGAGTACTTTCCTTTCCAAACGCCTTACAAGTGGTCCATGGGATGAATGAACGATTAGGGTAAGAATAAAGCACAGAAAGTACCCTGTGGGATAAAGCCTAGCTGTGGGAGTAAGAAGGATAAAGGAGTAAGAATAAAGCAACAGCTGTGGGATAGCAGCCTAGCAGGATAGAGCGGCTTACAGCAGGGAGAAACGAGAGAGTCTGGAGAGGGCTTTCGGGACTTCTCGAATGATGGAAGAGAGAGAAAGTAAAGCATTAGATGTAACGTAGCATGATGAGATGCTTACAGCCGGGAGAGACGAGAAAGTGTGGAGAGCCCTTGCGGTAGCGACCCGGTGAGTTGGTTGAAGCCGAGAACACTGTGATGGGGAGAAGGGGGAGACGAGGAAAGGGAGAGAGTAAATACTTCTGCGTGTGCAGTGACCGAGTAAGCCCTGTGGTGTGGAGAGGCCTTGTGGTAGCGACCCGGTGAGTTGGTTGAAGCCGAGAACACTGTGATGGGGAGAAGGAGGAGAGGCGAGAGAGGGGGAGGGGGAAAAGGGGAGAAGGGGAGACGGGGAGGAGGGGAGTGGGGGAGAGTGAAGGGGTTAGAGTGAGGCAGTGACCCGGTGAGCTGGTTGAAGCCGAGAACGTTGTGGTGTGGAGGAGGGAGAGTGGGGGAAAAGAAGAGAGTAACGCGGTACAAGAGAGGCAGTGACCCGGTGAGTTGATTGAAGTCAAGAACAAAGTGGTGGGGAGAAGCGGAGAGAGGGGGAGAGGGGGAGAGGGGAAGAGGGAGAGAGGGGGATATGGATAGAGTAGTGAGAGCCACTCACATGTCATGTCACTGACAGCCGTCAGTGCACTGATGGTGGAAGGCAGTTGAGTACACACGAGGCAATCCCTCTCTCTCGCACACACACTCTCTCTCTCTCTCTCTCTCTCTCTCACACACACATACTCACAGACACACACACTCACACACACACACGCACTCGCAATCACATTCACACTCACATTCACTCTCACACACATTCACACACACCCCCACACACAAACTCACATGTCACTGAGAGCCGTCAGTGCACTGATGGTGGAAGGCAGTTCCCCCGTAAGCGAGTTGCTCCACAGACTACTGCTCTTACAGGGTGGTGCAGTGCGGTGGGGTGGGGTGGGGTGGCATGCAGGCAGGTGGAATGTGCCGTGCACATACAAAGATGGGGATGATGGGGGATGCATGCGTGTTGTATGCCAATAAAAGCCAGCATGGGCCAAAGGGAAGGTGCACGGCAAGGCCGCATATACACAGGAAGAAGATGCAAAGCAGAGCAGGAGAAACGGCAGCTTCAAACTCTAAAATAGAAAGGACAAAATGCACATCCTGATTTGTTTAGAACACTGTATCTGAACTCTGCAAGGGGATTGTGAAAACGTACCGAAGCAAGGGAGAGCAGGAAAGATGATCGTACAGGCTGGCAGGTTAGGATGAAAATTTCGTACAGGTAGGAGAGATTGATAAATGATCCGAGGGATGTTGGTAGCGAGCCTGACAGCCCCATCTCATCCAGCGCCCTGCATTGACACCGCATCATGTATGGTGCATGAGGAAAATCCATCACATCACCCCAAGGTTGCATGATGCATTTAGGTGGCGACTGCATTACCCCTCCGGTGCCAGCACATGCGGAACAACAAAGTAAATTCATGTCCGTAGATTCCAGAAAAACAAACAAACAAAAAGCGGGTGATATCTTACTCTGACTCTTGGAAACGCAGGAAAAAGGGGCGAGACGCACATGCTCATGTTCATTCCGTTACTGTCACATGTGAGGCCATCCGCCTGGCTACAGTCGCCCCCCTCCTGCCATTGGTTGAATGTGACTCCCCATGCGGCCTGACAGTCAAGCAACCCAGGAACTGGAAAGAGGAAGAGATAACAACAACTGAGCCAATTGAAAGCCACTGACTGAATATAACATACCATGCGGCTTGACAGGCCAGCAATCCGGGAACTGGAAAGAGGAAAAGAGAACGGCTTTGAAGTGGAAATTGACGCTATTGTGGCTCAATGTGGTTCACTGGCAGTCAAGCATTGGGAATTGGAACGAGGGGGAATAGAGAAAGAGCTTTCTTTTACGACCCCGGAAACCTTTTCGATTATGGCAAGCAAAATTTGTGAAAGCAGGAACTTGAAAACAACATTCGGTGACGATTTTTGTGAAAGCCTGGAATCAAAAGCATCATTCACTGACAGAATTCCCGAACGGTGGAGCACGGAGGGCGACGAAACGGCTTTTGAGTCGACGCAAAGTCAACTCGAAAACGTGTAACTAAAGCGTCATCCGCTGACAGGATTCGTGAAACGCGGCGGAGCACGGAGAGCGACGAAGCGAACGTGCCTTGAGATGGAGCGATGGTCTGACCCCTCGCGACCGCAATCCACGCTCCGGAATGACTCAACAGCGCGGCCACCACGAGCGCCACCTGCGCTGCTGGGAGCACGGCGAACACGGAAGCACGCTTGCGAGAACAGCTCCATGATTTTGCCCGACCGGGAGGCATTGAATTGAGCCGCTGGGAATACAAACGCCGCCTGATGGGAGTACGCGCCACGTGTGCTTTACGGTCGCCGGGCCAGACCGCTAGGCGGCTTGGGAGTTTTTGGGATTGGGTTGGGATGAAAAGGCCACCCGCTGCCAGACACCGAATAGAAGGAAGGAGTCTTGGGCTGGGTGGGTGGTTCTCGCCTCGGCTCAACAGTGCGCCAGCCAAGCCAATTGTCGGTGCAGCTAGAATGTGAGCGGGTGTAGCAGGTTTGCTTGACTCTGGTTGGAGCTCCCTTGGGATTTTCCAAATTGGCAGCTGTAGCTTGCTCCGCTAAGGTTCAAGGTTCACAAGTCCACCAGAAGTTATGATTCTTCTAGGATTGCAACGGAGTGAGAGAACTAGAAATGGAGTGTTAGGTTGCACTCAGATTTGAGGGAAAAATCTCTTTATATTATATTTATTTCTCAGAGGAAACACGATACATGGTGGGCTATGCGCTTATGATTCGCCATGGCATATCTAAAGTACATGAGATACAAAATATATATCTGACTCGCATGTATACCAGTTCTGTTCCTGCTTGCGGAGCAGTCAATCAGGAGATATGCCTGCCCAGTCGTGCGAGGGCAACAAAATTCTCTAGAGTCAGTCGTGCGAGTCTTTGGCGCAGGCGGAAATTCCCGCCAAGGGCAAACCCACGTTCTCCCCCTCGTCTCACGCGTCGCAGCGCCTTCACTCCTCCCCCGAACGTGCCATGTCGAAGACTCAAAACAAGCACACGCCACTCTCCCCTGAGCCTCCACAACTTCGAGTCGCCCTACATTCGCCCAACATGCGGCGCGATAGTAATTCGACACTCTGCCTCACACGAATCCATCCAGCATGCGCCCACCGGGGAAGATGGTAGTCAAGGCACCGAGACCATACTCTCACCCCATCGCCGTTCTTCCTCCATTCGTGCGACATTTCACAACAGGAATTTTGCCCCTCTTCCATCGTAGCCTTTTCCCCCCATGCATCTGCAGCAGCCTTTTCCCTCCATTCCATGCATTCGCAGCGTCTTCTCGACACGCTCCAGTGGGTATCATCAGTCAACCTTGCTATAGCTGAGGTTCATCACCCCCCTCGTCCTTTCCCTGTGTAATTCACATCAGTAAGTCAAAGGAACTGCTACTCCGCTGTTCAATAGCTTCCGTAGCTTCCGTAGCTTTCATAGCTTCCGTCGCCTTGCACCAATGGCCGCCTGAATCCATCGAAATTCCCCGGTCATAGTACCTCTCGCGAGCGGGGAAACCAGGTCAACACTATGTCGCACTTTGTATCCGTCGAGGCGGGAAGAACAGACAGACGCACATCCGTACCATCCGTACGATCCCGACCGTCCAGTCCTCACACGCCGCGATTCAACCCTTTCGGCGCATCTAAATCCAAACCTGTCCCCAAGTCCCCCTCCGCGCATCCCGATGGCTCCGCGCCCAAACTCCTCGGCTTTCGCCGAACCTTCTTCTCCCCGCGGTCCGCCTCGCGCCGCGTCCACAACGTTCCTGAGATGCTCGTGTCGGCTTCCATGGCGTATGCCACGGCGCAAGTCCAGGCGGATAGCCTGGCGGGAATCCCGGGGACACGGGAACGGAGGATCGACGGGGAATTTGTAACCCGAGAGCGCGAGGAACTCGGGTTCGCCGCATACTCCCCCGCTTCGAGCCTCTCGTCGTCTGCGCGGCCGTCGCCGTTTCCGCGCAACGCCATTCCATCTCTTGACCTCGGCTCGCTGCCGTCGAACGCGGATGCGCGAAATCCGCCGCCCAATGTCGCGCGCGGCAGAGTGGGAGCCTCTGCGGAAAAGCCGAAACTGACTGGACGGGCAGGCGCGGGGAAAGGAACTTCGGGGGAAGCGGCGGCTGGGGCAGCTGTGAAATCGACTCAAATTAGGGAAGAGAAATTTTCCGGGGAAGGCGAATCTTTCCCGAAAACGCTTCGTACAGGCGGTTACTTCGATTGCGAAGATGAAGTAGTTATGCTTCAACACATGATAGAACCATCTATGGTAGAGGAGAACAACGGTAAAGCGGTTCAGCGTAAGGAGATAGAGGATCAAAGGCTTAGACTGGTTTTGGCGGACGAGGAGGAGTCGGATGCGGAAGGACCGGTGAGTGCGCGGGAGGAGGGGGAGCTGGCGGCGGAGGGCGCAGCGGAAGAAACGGCGGAGGTAACAATTGCGGAACGAGACGCCGAGACCGACACGGAGACAAAGGAGACGCGGCTCCGTCGATTCCTCGATGACTCCGTTGACTGCGTTGACTGTACCGAACCTGCTGATTGTGCTGATGGCTCCCGAATGGGAGACTCGAGCGTGCCGGGAGCCGTTTCTGCTGCGGTCGCTGCTGATGCTCCGACCAAGCGCACGCGGAAGAATGCACGGAAGGCTCGGGGGAAGAAGGCGGGTAAGAAGTCCGCGGGAAAGAAACAGCGCAACAGCGTTGCGGAAAACGAACGGCGAGTGCAGCATGCCGACGAGGCGGCAGCCGAGGCGCATGCTGACGTGGCGTCCGAACCCACCTTAGCGAAGGGACCTAGCGGCTTGCCGGCGTCCCCGCTGGCGTCGGCTGCGGAGTCCGCACCGGCGGAAAGGACTTGCGCGGAGGCGGAAAGCAGCGCAGAGGGGGACCGCGAACGAGGATTCGCGACTGGAAAAGCAACGGAGGGACACGACGCGGAGCTGACGCGATCGGGAGTGGCGGAAGGCAGCGCGATGGCGGAAAACAGCGCAGTGGCGGAAGGCAGCGCGGGGGCGGAAAACGTGGCGCAACGCCTGAACGCCCAAGGCGCGGGAACGGCGGACGAGGCGGAATCGAAAGCGGGAGCAACACACGAACATCGTAATCTTACCAAGGTGACTACTAGCGAATCATGCGGTGATGACGTGGAGGAGGAGCTGCGCGCGTGCCTGGCGGGAATGGCGGCGGAAGAGGAGGCGGATATCCGGCGGGAGCTGGATGATGCGCTGATTTTTGGATCAAGCGACGGGGAAGCGGGAGAGGCGGAAGCTGAGGAGAACTGGGGAGAAGAAAGAGGAGCAGGAAGAGGGGAGGAAAGGATGGGGAAAGGAGACCGTGAAGGAGAAGCAGATGTGGAATTTCTTAGAGAAGATTGTGGAGAGAAAGGGGAGGGAGAAAGGCGGGAGACGGAGAGGGGTGAGCGGGGTTCGACTTTGGACGTTGGTGGAGAAACCGGAGGTGAGGGTAGCGAGTGTAACGATACGTTTCTTGAGCTGGAAATCGATTTGATTGCGCTGCAGGAAGAGGCGGAAGAGGCGGAGAAGGCGGAAGAGGAGGAGGAAGAAGAAGAGGAAGAAGAGGAAGAGGAGGACGGGGCGGCGGGAATTGCGGAGGATGAGGCGGGGGAGTGGAAGGGTGGTGACCCAGAGGAGGATACGGTACTGGTCGATGGAGCGGGAGCGGAAGCGGAAGCGGAGGCGGAGGCGGAAGCGGAAGCGGAAACGGAGGCGGAAACGGAGGAGGAAGCGGAAGCGGAAGCGGAAGCGGAAGCGGAAGCGCCGTGCGAAGATGATGCAGACGCCTCGGGAAGCGCGGCGGAAGCAGCGGCGCTGCAGCAGCAGGAGGTGCGCATCGAGGCTGCGGCCACTTCTGGGAGAGAGGAAGCGGGAGAAGCGGATAATAAGCAGGAAAACGGAGAAAATCATTTTTCGAAAGAGAAGGACCCGGAATGTGTCTTTGATGCGCCTCAGGAGCGAGTTCGTTCTCCGGAGCGAATTCGTTCTCCCGAGCGGGCTCATCTTGCGGAGGAGGAGGAGGACGCGGAATGGATTGCGCTGCTCGAGGAGAGCCTGGCCGAACGCGCGCGGGAGCGGCAGCGGGAGGCGGCGGAACGAGACGCCGCGCAGGTTGCGGGCGGCGGCGGTGTAAATCCCTTTGCGCTAGCGCTGGGGGAGAGCGAGGCGGAGGGCGAGGCGGAAGTGGAGGCGGAGAGCGGGGCGGAGGTGGAGGCGGAAGTGGAGGCGGAGGGGGAAGCGGAGGACGACGGGGAGAGTGAGGCGGAAGAAATCGAGATGATCAGCCCGCGAGGAAGCGCGCCGAGCAGCGGAATTGCGCTCGCCGCTCCGCCGTGTGAGGTGGTGACGGTTGGTGTAGAGGAGAGTGTGGACGAGAGTGACGTGGATGAGGACGAGAGTGACGTGGATGAGGACGGGAGTGACGTGGAGGAGGACGGAAGTGACATGGATAGGGAGCAGAGTGACGTGGAGGAGAGCGACGCAGAGGCGGATGAGAGTGAGGTGGAGGGGCAGAGTGACGTGGAAGAGGAGCAGAGTGACGTGGAGGAAATCGAGATGATCAGCAACCCGCGGAGTATGGGGGGAAGCGAGAGGCGGAGTGAGAAGGCGGGAGGAGAGTTGGCCGATGAAACCAATGGGGCTGATGGGGTGGAGATGAAGGGGAGGGGAGAGGAGAAGCAAGAGGAGGAAGAGGAGGAAGAGGAGCGCGGGAGGGAGGAAGGGGAGAAGGAAGTGGAGGAGGGAGGCGCGGAAGCAGCTGTGCTTTCGCCCTTCCCGTCGCCCCTCCCTTCCCCACACCACTCCGACACCTCTTGCCGGTCAAGTGGATCCAAGCATTCAGCCAAGTCAATCAGGTCAACTGAATCCAAGCACTCGGTCAAGTCAACGCAGTCAATGGGATCAAGGCGATCAGCAAACTCACGAACCTCACACGCGGGGTCAAACAAGTCAGACAGATCCCCAAAATCAATCCAGTCAACGCACTCCAAGGCGTCAAACCGAGCAGCTGCCGCCCAGCCTTCCACCACTTCTGCCGCCCAGCCATTCCCTCTCTTCACCACAGTGACGTCACCCACCAAGCCCTTCTCCCTGCCGGCCGCTGCTGACGTGGCAGTGTTTCGGTTCGGTAAGGCCGAGAACCAGGGGAGTGAGAGAAGGGGAGGGAGGGAGAGGAGGAGGGTAGGAGGACGGATAGTAGCAAGTAGGGTAGTGGGAAGAAGGGGATTCGGTGAAGGAACAGCAGGAGTGGAAGGAGAGGAGAAGGAAAAGAGCAGCAGTGGGAAAGGAAGGGGCGGGGAGAAGAGGAGAGTGAGGAAGAGGCAGCGCGTGAGAGGGGAGGATTCGGATGGGAGTGAGAGTGAGGGGAGTGAGTGTGGAAGGGTGCAGAACGGTGGCGTTGCTCTAGGTGCTACTGCTGCTAATGCTACCGCCACCGCTACTGCCACCGCTACCGCCACCGCTGCCGCTGCCACTGCCTCGGCAACCTGTGGGACTGCTGCAACCTGTGGTGTTTGTGTTGCTGACTGGCAACTGTCAGTGGAAAAGGAAAATGCGGAGGGCGGAGAGCAGCAGCAGCAGCAGCAGCAGAAGCAGAAGCAGCAGAAGCAGCAGAAGGGGAAGGAGGCGGAGAACGAAGGGCAGCAACAGAGGCGGAGCAACGGATCTCTGACGTCATCTCCCACTGGAAGGCAGACACGTGGCGGCGTTAGCAGCCCAAATCAAAAGCAGACACGTGGCGTTAGTAGCCCAAATCAGAAGCAGACACGTGGCAGTCCGGCAATAAGCGGCAGCAGCAGCCCGTTGATCATCAACCACTGCAGCAGCACCAGCAGCACTTATACAAAACTGGGAGGGAGCAGCAGCACCAGCAGTGCCTATACAAAACTGGGAGGGAGCAGCACCAGTAGAAACAGCAGGAGCAGCCAAGGAGTAATGACGAGAAACAACAGCAACAGCAGGAGCAGCAAGGGCGTAATTGGTGGGACCAAGGGGTCTATAGCAAATAACGCGCCCATGGTCATAAAGAGCCTCGAGGACACAACAAACGGATCTGAGGGCGCAATAACGAGTACAAAGCAGGGGAAGTGCAAAGGGGGAAGCAGAGTTGAAGCTCTGAGCAGCAGAGACGGCGTCAGAGCAACAGTTGCTGCTCGTTCGTGTGACCAGTACTGCACTACTAGCTGCAGCGAAACGGTCTATAGCGAGGAGGACGTGTATAGCGAGTCAGGGAGTGGTGCCACTAACGGGTGTGGCAAGACCGAGGGCAGCAGCATCAGCAGGAGGAGGCGAAGTGCTGTTGGCAGCGTGCAAGGCGGTGGTGAGGCAAAGAGCAGTGGGATGAAAGAGAGAGGAACGAAGAGCAGCAGCTGCAGGAGCATCAGCATCACCAGCATCAGCAGCAGCGTAGGCGGCGGGAGCAGCAGCGTTTGTGGGGGCAACAACACGGCAAGGTCACCAGCAAGGTCACCAGCAAGGTCACCAGCAAGGTCACCAGCAAAGTCACCAGCAAGGTCACCAGCAAAGTCACTGAGCACGACGAAATCACCAAGCATGAAAGCGGTCAGCATAAAGGAGATAAACGGTAGAGTCGCGAGCAGCAGCAGGAGCACCAGCATCACCAGTATCGGCAGCAGCGTTTCTGCAGGCGGCAACAGCACGGCTAAATCACAGAGCACGGTAAGATCACCGAGTGTGAAAGCAATCAGCGTAAGGGAGATCAGCAGCAGCAGGGCACGCAGCAGCAACAACAGCAACAACAGCAGCTCAGCGGCAGCAGCAGGGAGCAAGAAGCTGCTCCCGCCCAAGTACATCCCTGTTCGCCCCACTTCTGCTACAACCGCTGCTACAGCCGCTGCTACAACCCCTGCTACAGCTGGTGCAACAGCCTCTACTACAGCCGCTGCCACAGCCACTGCTACAACTGCTGCTGCAGCCCCTGCTACAACTGCTGCTACATCCGCTGCTACAAACCCCTCTATCCCCCCTTCCCTCCACCGCGCCATCACAACCCACAGCGCCCTCTCCGCCCTCTCCGCCCACTCCGCCTTCCCCCCGCCCAGTCCCTCCACGTCCTTCCCCTCCCCCGCGCTCAGCGCGCACCACCTGCTCTCCGCCTTCCCCCCGCCATCCCCTGACGCTGCCCTGCGCTTCCTCTGCTCCCCCTCCTTCCCCCCGCCCTCCCCCGGGTGGCCCCTGCGGAAAATCCGCGTGGTGGGGGGGAACCGGCGCCCTGTCTACTCCCCCGTGCATAGGCTCAGCAGGGGGGGCGCGGGGGGGTCAAGGGGAGGGGGGGAGGCGGGCGGGAATAGGTGCGGGGGGGAGGAGGGCGCAGGGGGGTGTGGGAAGTGTGGAGGGGAATACAAGATGTGTAGACCTTTGGGAAGGCTGGAGGAGGGAGAGGGGAATGAAGGGGAGGAGGGTGGGAGGAGAGGAGGGAGGGGAGATGGGGGAGAGGCGGGGGAAGGGGGTGGAAAGAGGAGTGTGAAGGCGAGATGGAGCAAGGTGGTGTCGGTGCCTGCTTCCATGTTCACTCGCAACGAGTTTGACACGAGGAGGACTCGCTCGGATAAGACAGGGGCGACCGGGGCAACAGCAACAACAGGACGTCCAGCAGCAGCAGCAGCAGCAACGACAATAAGCCAGCAGGAGGGCGAGAAGGGAAGCAGCAACAAGAGGAAACCGCAGAGCGTTCTGAAGAGCATTCGGAAGATTCGACGTGAGTCAACAACCCTCCCCCCGAACCTGCTGCTGCCCTCCGGTTTCCTACCCACTCTCTATCACTTCACCTCACAGATAAATCCACGCATTGCCGTGCCCACCAATGTTTTACCAGGCCATTCAAGCACCAGGCCATTCAAGCACCAGGCCCTCTCTGTCACTGTTGGGCCATAACCCTTGTCCTTTCATGAACCCTTGTCACTTTCTAACTGGTCCCTCTCTCTCTGCTTCTCTCTCTCTTCCGTTTGCCTCTACTCCTCACCAGTGCGGCCGGCCGTCATCCTTCTCGCATACTGGCGGGCCATACGTAACAGCACACGGCCAGGCTTCATCTTCAGCAAGGCAATCAAATCCGCACCAGTAAGAGCATATCCTCTTTACAGTCTCAAATGTACTTCTTGGCAGCGGATTGGAACATTATAAACCTTCTCTACTGTATTTTTTTTTGGCATGCACTCACTTGGATGTTGCCTTCAATGTTGCTTTTTTTCAGGAATAAACATGGTCGGGTGAGCCGAGCCGCCTTGTGTTTTTATCAGGGGTGTACAATATCGTTGCTTGTGAATTTTTGCAACCTCTTGTATAATCAGGCGAGCTCTGCAATGCTGTGGTGAAGCTGCTTGCCTTAGCTGTAAATGCGTGCCAGTTTGTTATGCCTGAAGTAGTACTTTTCGCTTAAACATAAGAAGTTGTAAGAAATAATTTGATCTGGTGTGATACCTGAACACGACCTACAAACAAAAGCCACTCTTGCCGAACCACTGCGGATACCCGTTATAACACCACACGAGTGCCAGTGTTGCTGCACTCCACGCACGAGTGGTCGGCAGGTACTAGACGTGGCGGCGACAGGCGACAACTGAAAAAGGTAACCCGTCGTAAGCGACAACACCAACGACAATTGACCAGGGAAGGCTGAGATAAGAAAACTCAAGCCTACCCTAATCAAGCGACTCCTCCGACAACGGATGAGCGAGATTAGACGATTTCAGCAAGGTTATGAGCTCAACCAATAGGAGGAGAACGGGGCGGCGTGGTGAAGGCGACGTAGTCGGCCACGCAACGACAGAAAACCTTCCAGATACGACAAAACAGCAACCGTCCACCGTCATGGCGGCTGCGACTACGACTACTGCACAGTGCGTGCGTGCGACTACCCTCGGAGGGTAGCGATGCGGGGTGGCACGGCATGAGGGCTTGGCGCTACTAGGGATTTTCCCAGGAGGGCCCTCTCGAAATCGCCGCGATCGGAAGAGGGGAGGTGAGCGCGGAAGCCTTCGAGCTTTCACCAGAAAGTCCCTCCCGCGACTCGAGGGTTCGTTCTTGAGGGCGCCGAGCGCTTGGAGGGTTCGGTTAGTCCGTCTTTTTCATAAGCCGCGTTACGACCGCTTTGTGTATTCTCGAGAAGCACGTTTCAAGAATCACTGATTTTGTCGCCCCAAACACCTTCAACAAGCAAAATACCAAAGCAAGAAATAAAGCGTGCAGTTGATCCCAAGCATGGATCTCTATTCTCATCCTCCTCGTCCGTTTCGTTCTCCCTCGCTTCTCCTTCTTCTTCCTCAGCTGCTGCTGCTTCTGCTGATCCTGCTTCTATCGCTCGGAGCTGTCCAGCAGGCAGACGCGGCATCCCCCACGAACGAGCAGATGCGGGTGGAGGTCGCTGGCCTTCAACTCGCTGCTGCTGCCAGGCCTCGCTACTCCGTCGCCGCAAGGTTCCTTGAACGGGCGAGTGAGGGTCTTGGCCCTGAACTCACACATTTACACACACCCTGTGATTCCGTGTGGCCTGATGTGACCGTTCCTTGACGACGTCTTGCATGATGGCGAGGTGATCAAGGAGTGTGACTTCTCACCTGATGTGATCTTACCTGATGTGACTTCACCAGATGTGACTTGGCTTGTGAGCATGCTATGCCGTGTCACTGCTGCACATGCCACGCTCTTCAGATGTGCTTTTGAAATCTGTTCCCTTCTGCACATAGTCTCTTGTTCGTCCCCCTCATCAATTCCCCCCCCCTTCTATTTCCCTTTCCAGATTAGAGGGTCTCCCGAAGGTTTGATTTTCCCTTGTGGACTCATACCTCGTCAAATGCTTGTTCACCCGCTTTCCTTTATCTCCCGTCCCTCCCGTGTTAGCTGTCTATTCTTTATCTGCGCATTCATTCCCTGTGCCTTCCCTCCCACCTTTTCCTTTCTCTTGTGTTCCCCCTTTCCCTCTAGTTGAGGATCCCAATACCAACTACACCGTTATCCAGAACACAACCATACTACTTCCATCCAACCAGGCATTAATCGACACCCTGCTGCGAGTTTGGGACAACGGAACTGAATGGGTGCGTACAATCACATACAACATCATCAGTGGCTTGTACACTCTCCGTCAGCTGCGCCAGCTGCCGCGTAACGCCCAGATTCCAACATTGTTGGAAGGTGCAAACCTGACCAAGTTCAATACTAGGTTCAGTGTGGCGCTTGGTCAGCCGGACACGAAGCTGTTTACTTGGGCAGTGGTGAAAATTCCCAACCTGCACAACGGGGTGTTTCTCAAAGTGCATGGTGTGGATAGATGGGTTGTGCCACCAGTGGAATAGCTCCTACTTCTGTGCTGAGTAGGGAACATTGCATGCGGATTTACCTTTTCCAGCTTTGTATGAGCAAAATGAATGCACATTCTTGTAGCACCTGAACAACCTTTTCAGTTCCGGTATTACCTCACCTTAGTAAACTATGCTGAGCATAAGCTCAATGGAGGAGTTAGTTACATGCCATTGGTCAGTGTACAATACTCTTTATTTCATACAATCACTTTGAAGCACAATGTCAGTGACCTGTTCAAGAATCACAACGGCACGGCAATTCCGTGCGCACGAGGGGCCCGATTCGGCCACGACTTTCGCGCGTCGCGCCATTTGGCTCACAAAATAGATTTTCTTTCCAGCATTAGTTTCCCTACACTCCCTCCCTCCTCTCCTCTCCAGACCAGCCACATCAAATCGCATCCCAATAGCGCGACGCAGCATCGCGTCACACATTCCCATTCCGTTTTGATGTTCATCCATTGCTTTCTTCCTACCATGCATTGCGTTGCGTTGCATCATCCATCCGTCAGGTATGCTATGCAGGCAGTGTGTATTGCAGCATGCACCCATGAATCTAGCGTGACTACAGCAGAGCTGGGGGGAAATGCTCAACTCGTTGCAGCATAGCACCACGCGAAGTGACAGGTTGTTGTAGCATCATAGCTGGGACGTTCCCAAATGTGCCGCAGAGGCTAACAAGGTGACTTAGGAAATGCCGGCATTGTGAATGCAGCATTTGTGACTCTCCCTCGCAACCTGCCCTCAGCTGCAGACTGTGTTGCGAAGCGCTTCGAGTTCGGCGAACAGTGCACAGAGCCGCAGAAAATCAAAGCGGGAGCATTCTGAGAGAAGCGGGAAGCGCGCGGGTGAACTTGTTCTGAGCACTCATGGGGGAAACGTCAGCGTCGGATGCGCGAGTCGATGCGTTGACCGTAGCGGCAGCAGGAGCTGTTACCGCAGCAAACACTAGCGAATCAGGGTTTGAGGGGCCTCAGGAGGCGGAGGGATCGGTAGCGATGGCTTCGCGAGTAGGTGAATCGACCGTTGCGGCAGCAGGTGCTAGAGAAGATAATGCTGTGGCTGTCGATGAGTCGACCGTTACAGCAGCAGGTGCCGTTGACGGTAATGCTGCGGACGTTAGCAATTCCGCAGCAAACGTTAACGAATCGCGGTTTTACGGGGCTCAAGGCGATGAAGATAATGTTGCGGCTGTCAGCAATTTCGCAGCAGACACTAGCGAATCAGGGTTCGAGGGACCTCAAGTCGATGAGATGACCGTTACAGCAGCAGGTGCGAGTGAGGATAACGCTGCGCCTGTCGATGAATCGGCAATTGCGGCAGCAGGTGATAGGGACGGTAATGCTTCTGGTAGAGAGTCAGCACCTGATAATGACGGTGCCACACTTGCACAAGCCGGTGCCACAGTGTTACAAGACGGTGCTGCAGTGTTACAAGACGATGCTACAGTGTTACACGACCGTGCTACAGTGTTACACGACCGTGCTACAGTGTTACACGACCGTGCTACAGTGGTACATGTCCACGTGCTCTCAACCAAGGGAGACGATCTTCGGACGGAGCCCTTGCAGAAGGAACCGGAGCTGCCGCAGTCAGTTCAGGCAGAAGTGCCCCCTGCCGAACCAGCCCTTGCCGAACCAGCCCTTGCCGAACCAGCCCTTGCCGAACCAGCCCTCGCCGAAACAGCCATCTCCAAACCAACCCTCGCCGAACCAGCCCTCGCCGAACCTGAACAGGAGGTACGGGTGCAGAGGGAGGGCGCGGGAGGGGAGCAAGAGCTGTCTGCAGGTTCGGCAGCGGAAGGCAGCATGGAGATGAGCGGAGGGGAAGCGGGCGCGGAAAGGGAGTGCGTGGGGCTGAGCGCAGGGGAAGCGGGTGCGGAAAGGGAGTGCGTGGGGCTGAGCGCAGGGGAAGCGGGTGCGGAAAGGGAGTGCGTGGGGCTGAGCGCAGGGGAAGCGGGTGCGGAAGGGAAATGCGTTGGGCTGAGCGCAGGGGAAGCGGGCGTGGAGGAGGGCAGCATGGGGTTGAGCGGAGGGAAAGCGGAAGCGGAAGGAGACTGTGTGAGGCCGAGCGGAGGGGAAGTGGGAGCGGATGGGGAGTGTGTGGGGCTGAGCGGAGGGGAAGCAGGAGCACCAGCAGCGGCAGTAGCAGCAGCAGCGGCGGCAGTAGCAGACGTGGTAGAGCCGCCGCCGCAGGCAAAGGAAGCGGCATCCGACGGGACGGGCCCGTCCCCCACTCCCACCATCTCGTCTCTCCACCCCTCTTCCGCCGCCCTTGCGTCCCTCCCTCTGCCCCCCATGCGCGCAAAGCCTTCCGCTTTTCCTTGCACCAGCGCTTCCGCAACGGGCTCAAGCGCAAAACCAGCCGCTCCGCCGATTCTCCGCGGAGCCAGCGTGCGCCCGGTCAACCACCGCCGACCCACCTCCGCGTTTCCCAACTCCCCTTCCCTTCCGCCGATGATCCTTGCGCCTTCCCCAGCTGCGGAATTGGCGCGGCAGTTCAGCGTTCTCTGTCCCGCTGCTGCTCCGCATCCCTCGGCAATCGACGGCGGAGAGATTGGCGGACCGGGAAGTCGTGATTGGCTGGGAGGAAGTAGTTTCACCGATACTATTGCTAGTACTAGTAGTAATACTCATACTAATACTACTAGTACTAGTAACAGCAGCAGACTTGACGATGTATACCGCGGCCTCGGCGGCAGCGGCAGCGGCAGCAACGGCAGCGGCAGCGGCAGCGGCAGTGGCTGCAGCGCAGAAGGAGAGTCGCGCAGCGAAGGCGAGTCTTCTCCCTCGCTCCGCTCTCCCTGTCGCAGTAACAGCCACGATGCTCGCGATCCTGCGACGGAGCGTTCTTTGGGTTCTAGATCGCAAACTGGTCGCACGCGACGTTGCACGCTGTCGCAGCTGATAGACGAGCTGGAGAAAATGCGACTCAAAGACACGGCGCTGCGGGAACCGGAAGCGGGGGAGGCGGAAACAGGAGAAGCGAAAGCGGGAGGAGAAGACGTGGGGGAATACGGAGGGAAAAAGAAGCGCGCGCGAGGAGTGGCGGAAAGAGGCGGAGATGGGGGGCAGGAGGCGCGGAGGGAGCTGGGGAAACGCCCAAGCATGGGAGGGGGGTTGAGAGTAGAAGCAGGAAGAACCCTCTCTTTCCAGGGGTCAAAAGCTTGGCAAAGTTTGAAGTCACCCACGTTTAGGAGTGTAGGACGTGGTGAGGGGGAATGGGTAAACACTCGGTTTCCTCTGCTGGTTCTGTCTAAGAGCATCAGCAGCGTTTGGCGACGAAAGGGAGGGAGACCGGGGCAGAGAGAAGAGGAGCAGCAGCAGAAGTGTACAGGCGAACTCGATGGGGAGAAGAGGGAGCGACAGGAGGAGGGGAAGGGGACGCAACAAGAGGGGACGGAGTTGGATGAACAGGGAGAAGGCGGGGTTGCTTGTAAAGAGGACGGTTACTCTTCCAGGAATCCCTGCTGGCCTTACCGTGAGGCCATATGCAGTCACACTGCTTACAGTCACACTGCTTTCAGTCATAACCTGGTGTTTCCCCAAACCGCCCCACTCCAGGCTGAGATGCTGCACGGCTCCAATAAAAGAACACTTGCCTTCAGTCACGACCTGTGTTCCAGCAGCAGCAGCAGCCACTGCTGCTCCTGCATCAACTGCAATAACTGCAATAGCAGTGCCAGGCTGTGCCCTGGCAAGACCTGCCAGTGCAAATCGCTCGCAACGGCAGGCCTGAAAAAACAAGATCTCCCTCTCACTCACCTGCTATCCTCGTTACAAGCTGCATCAGTATCCGCCACAGCAGTCACAGCGGGCAATGTTGAGCTACCCCCGGGTTCAGCCCACCACAGGGCTTTAACTGAAGCAATAGGTGTGGCGTCCACCAGTCAACACGCAGTGGCCGCACAAGCACGCCGGGCAATACTGAGTCAGCTTATAGGGGAGCTGGAGGCGATCCAGCCAGGCACGACAGGGAAGGAGGCCCAGCCGCAGGAGGAGGAGGGGGCAGCAGGCAAGGCCGAGGGCGGATTCAACAGGGGAAATGAGGAGAGCACGTGCGTGGGTGTGACCTCACAGGATGGTGAGAGCTCTGATGATGATGAAGATGAAGATTTGGAGAAGATGTTCACCTTTTCAGGGCCGGTTGGGGTGGAAAAACAGAGGGCGGATGGGAGGTTGGCAGGGGAGTGCAAGGAGATGGAGGTGGGTGCAGAGGTGGGGGGTGTGTGTAAGCAGAGAGTGAGGGGTGCGGGTGGGAGGGCAGTGCCAGGGCACAGGTGGCAGGCGTGGAGTGGTCAGCTGCTTGGGGGAGGAAAGAGGCTGTTTGGAAGGGTGCCGTCTGTGGTGCAGCGGGCACGAGGGGGGGGCGGAGGAGGAGGTGGAGGGGGTTGTGGGGGTGGGGGTGGGGGTGGCAAGGCGTCGTCTCACGTGTGGCCTGACGTGTACGGCTGTGCGGGGCTGAGCGTTGGTGTGGGAGAAGTGAAAGATTCTGAGAAGTAGTGAGGGGGAGGAGGCAGGGTGTCTGTCGCATGTGTGGCCTGACGTGTATGCCGTGCGGGGCTGTATGGGGCTGAGCGTTGGGTTGGGAGAACACACGGTGCAGTAGAGCAGGAGACTCTGGAGGACCAGGAGGCCCAGGAAACACTGGATAAATTAGGGATTCTAAGAGGTAGTGGAGGTGCGGAGGCAGGGTTGTGGTTTTCTCATGTGTGGCCTGACGTGTATGCATGTGCAGTGCTGAGCGTTGGGGTGGGTGAACATGGTGCAGTAGAGAAGGAGACCGGGGAGGCACTGGAAACACTGGAGAAGTGAGGAATTCTGAGAGGTAGTGGAGGAGGGAGGGGGGTGGCGTTTTCCGCTTGTAAGGCCTGGCGTGAATGGCTGCATGGGGCTGAGATTAAATGTGGGAGACCATGGGGGGCAGGGGATGCAGAAGAGGAGACCCAGGAGACATTGGAGAAGTTACCACTCACTCCATGTCATTGGATTCTGAAAGGTGATGGAGGAGGATGCATGGCATGGTGCCTTTCACTTGTGTTGTGTTGCCTCGTGTGGCATGGCTGAGCGGGGCTGAGCATAGATACAATGAAGAACTTGGTGCAGGACTCAACCAGCCATAGGAAGTAGTGTAGATGGAGCCGAAATTATGTGTGTGGAGGAAATCAATCAAGACGGCTGTTTAGCTGATTTGCATATTGTGAAGAATGAGGAATGGATGAACTAGCACAAGGTTGGGTACAAGTAGGAAACCCTAGGAAACTGTACCCCATAGTGTCTACCCCACTATAGCCTAGACAAGCTATATGATATAAGTTTGACACACCCCCATAGGCAAAGTGGGGGAGAACAAGAGGTCACAAGACCAGTCAAGCAAAGCAAAGCAAGCGCAGGGTGGATCACAACGTCACCACACAATCCGAGCACAAGAGCAAGGCCACAAGGCCAGTTCACATGCAAGATAATATATAAAAGGTAAACAGGCAAGTGCAGGTATAGAAAGATCACAGTACAAGCAAGGTCAAGAAGTGAGCAAGTGAGGCCAAGTAGGCACAAGACCTAGCATAGTACAGAAGCGCTGATGATCACCAGGCGGAAGTGCCTTGGTAAAGATATCAGCAGTGTTGGCCTCAGAGGCCACGTAAGCAAGGCGCAGCTGACCACGCTGCTGCAGCTCACGAGCAAGGAAGTAGCGGAGAGCAATGTGCTTCGTTCTGTGCTCCAGTCTGTGCTCTCGACACAAGGCCAGCATGGCCTTGTTGTCTACGTACAGAACTGGAGGAGAACGAGGCGGCTCTCCTAGGTCAGTCAGCAGGTAGGTGAGCCAGCGTAGCTCCTGTGCAGCCATGGCCCCCGCGTAGATCTCAGCCTCACAGCTGGAGCCGAGAACAGAAGACGAGCGGGTAGACCGCCACGAAACAGAGCCGGAGCCAAGGCTGAAGGTGTAACCCTGTGACGACCGCTGCGTAGCCTGGTCGTCAGCCCAAGAAGCGTCTGCGTGACCTGTGAGGACCACTCGACGTCGCCCTCCAAGCACTAGCCCCATGCCCGACGTACTGCACAAGTAGCGCAACACCCTCTTCGCTGCAACCATGTGCTCTGGTCGGTGTCTCCCAGGAGCAACATAGCGTGCCAAGATGCTAAGAGGGTATGCAAGGTCAGGTCGTGTACATGTCATCAGGTACATGAGGCAGCCAACAAGCTCTGGGTACGGGCCACTCGGCTCTACGGACTCATCCGAAGGCAGAGCTGAGAGCGAGTGGCGAGTAGACAGAGGAGTGGCCTGAGGCGAGGAGTACGTGAAGTCGAAGCGCTGAAGGACCTGCTGCACCATGTGTGACTGAGTCAGGGTAATGGTGCGCTGTGCTCTGTCCCGGGTGATCTGCAAGCCAAGGTAGCTGCGCAGTTCACCCAGGTCTGTGCACGTGTGTCTCTTCTGCAGCTCGGACTTCACGTGGGCGAGTCCAGCAGTGTCAGCAGTGGCAAAGACCAAGTCGTCGACGTACACGAGGATGTAGAACGGCGGCAAAGAGGTGTCGGTGCGCAGAAACAGCGACGGGTCGGCTGTAGAAGGAGCAAACCCAAGAGCCGCAAGTATAGTCCTCAGTGTGTCGTGCCACTCACGGGGTGCCTGGCGGAGACCGTAGACTGGCCGCCGGAGGCTCCACTGGGTACCAAGAGGAAACGACCCAGTGAAGCCAGGTGGGCGGCGCAGCCAGATCTCCTCGTGCAGGCTGCCCTGCAGGAAAGCAGTGCTGAAGTCAAGAGAGTGAAGCTCGTAGTCGCGCTGAGCGGCTATGTGCAGCAGCACCCGAAGAGTGGTCATCTTCGGGGTGGGAGAGAAGGTCTGAAAGTAGTCAACTCCCTGCCGCTGACTGAAGCCTCGAGCCACGTAACGCGCCTTGAAGACAGGAGGAGAACCCGGCGGCCGCTTCACCCTGAAAATCCACATGCCACTGACGATGTTCGCCCCAGGTGGGGGAACCTCGTCGACGTAGGTGCCTGTGGACTTCCAGGAAGCCATCTCTGCGTCCATGGCTGACTGCCACTGAGAGGAGTAGGGACCCTCGATCGCCTCAGCGTACGATCGAGGAGTCGGGATGTCTGGTGCATCCGGGTCTCCCTCAGGGGCAATCAGCGTGGACACGAGATGAGGCAAAGCAGCAGCAAAACACTGGAACTCCTCCTGCCTGTCCTCAAGGACGTCCGTGCTAAGAGCACACTCACCCCCGACGGACGGAGGACAGACAGACTCAGACTCAGCAACAAGACTAGCAGCGTAGTCTAGACGACAGCGAGCAGCAAAGTCGACAAGCTCAGCAACTAGGGCCGACGCAGCAGTGGACTCAAAGGAAGGGTCAGTGACAATAGTAGCCAGGAGACGCGTGACAGTAGGACTGGCAGCACGACGAGAGTCAGACTCCGGGTCAGCAAGAACAGGAAGAGAGGACTCTGGAGGAGACGGCAACGGGACACGCAGAGGAGCAGTGGAAGGACGCAGTGCCATCTGGTGTGTGCCTGGGACCGCAGGAGGACGCGGACGCGGAGCACGACGACTAGTGCGAGCAGCACGAACAGGCGACGCAGGACGAGACGTAGGCTCACGACGCTCAGCAAGACCTCCAGTAGGACCAGTGTAGGGAGAAGGAGCAGGTAGGGGGGAGGCGGGCTGTAACTGTGACTGCGACTGGACAGGCTGTGGACACTCTAAGGGAGGAGTAGGGCGGGAGACCAAGAACCTGCTCAAGGAGCGGAACGAAGTACGGCCTCGGCCGCGCAGCGCCTCCAGACGCACCAGCGCCAGCAGAACCACAAGCGCCAACACCCCCAGCAGCTCCAGCTCCAGCAGCTCCAGCAGCACCAACTCCAGCAGGACCAGCAGCTCCAGTACCGCTAGCAGCTCCAGCAGTACCTCCAGCAGGACCAACTCCAGTAGCCCCAGCAGCACCCCCAGTCCCAGCAGCTCCAGTACCGCCAGTACGAGCACCTCCGGGACCAGCAGCAACAGTAGTACCTCCAGCTCCAGCAGCACAACTCCAGCGCCGGGCAAACCACTCGCGCAGCTCCTGCGGAGAGAGTAGCTCCCGCCTCGACGAAGCACCGCGAGAGGCCACACGAGCAGACCCAGCACCCCCAGGCTCCGCACCCCCAGGCTCAGCACCCCCAGGCTCAGCACCCCCAGACTCAGCACCACCAGGCTCAGCACCCCCAGGCTCCGCACCCCTGGACTCAGCACCCCCAGGCTCCGCACCCTCAGGCTCAGCACCTCCAGACCCGGCACCCGCAGGCTCAGCACCTCTAGCAGTACCAGAGTCAACAGCTACCTCGACAGGCTCGACTGCGTCTACCTGGGACACACCTGACGGGGCAGGACCCTGAGGGGGGAGGGGGTCTACTGGGGGAGGACTTGGCGCAAGGAAGAGCGGCGGCGGGGGGAGGGGCGCAGTGCGGTAGGGGAAGAGACGGTAGTAAGGCACCGACTCGTCAAAGGTGACGTCCTGGGAGGACAGAACACGGCGCGAGGTGGGGTGGTAAAACTGCCACCCAGGCGCGTCAGGGGGGAAGCCAAGGAAGACGCAGGGAACAGCACGGGGGGACAGCTTGTCCGCAAACAAGTCGCGGACAAACGCCCGAGATCCCCAGACCCGAAACGCAGACGCATCGCCAACCTTCCCCGTCCACCGCAAGGTGGGGGAGGTCTCTGGCAAGGAGACCCGGGGCTGAAGGTTGAGCTGATGCGCTGCGTACTGAACTGCAAACGGCCACAGAAAATGGGGGGCAGCCGCATGGATCATGGACGTACGAGCGACGTCCATGACCATGCCAATGCGGCGCTCAGCAATCCCATTTTGCTGTGGAGAGGTCGGAAGCGTGAAGGTCTGGCGGATGCCCTGTGCTCGACAGAAGGCTCCCAGACGGGCAGAGGAAAACTCCCTGCCTCTGTCAGAGTGCAGACGCAGAACCGGAAAGTCCGAGCCGAAACTCTCTCTGAGCTGGAGACGAGCTGCGCGGATCCAGTCGATCAACACCTCAGTGACGTCACCCTTGCTGCGCAAGGGGAAGACTGTGGTGTAACGCGAGTAGTCGTCAACCACCAACAGGAAGTAACGCTCGTGCCCCTGGCCACGGACGCGGGCGGGGCCCCACACGTCCATGTGAAGAGTCTGCAGCGGAGCCTCTGTCGGGGGAAACTCGGAGGAGTGAGGGGCGGCGCGCTGTCGCCCCTCGACGCAGGGGACGCAGGTAGGGGCAGGCCCCGGAGGTAGGGGAGGGAGAGACCGGGGGAGACCAGAGACAAGGACACGGGAGGCCATGCCTCGGAGACGAGGCAGGGAGGGGTGACCAAGGCGGTGGTGCCAAAGGAGAGTCTGGTGGGACAGAAGACGACACGAGCAGGGAGCAGACTCAGGACCAGACCTGGACGCTGCAGCAAACACCTGACTCAACGCAGCTACCTGACCAGACTCAGCAGCCGGAGGAGACTCAGTAGTAAGTGTGTACAGGCTCGACCCCGGCCGACGGGTGAACGTGGCCAAGTGTCGGCCTGTCCGAGCACACGTGCAGTGGGTCACCCGCTGACTCGCAGGAGTGAACTGGTTAACCCCCCTATCCTGTAGATCAGCTCCACTCACCAAGTTCGTAGAGAACGAGGGGAGGTAGAGACCTGACAGGGTGCCAGAGGGGGCTGCCGGGCACGGTAAGACAGTGGAGAAGCTAGCAAGGACAGGACCCCCAGAGGGGTCCGCCAGGGAGACTGCAACCGGCCTACTAAGCGGCGTAAGCGTGGTGCGGTCTCGAAAGAAGGAGCGGGAAGCACCCGAGTCAAGGGTGAAGGTGTGTAAGGCCTGAGCCGACATAGTACCTGAGAGAGCAGACTCACCAGCACCTGGGGCAGCAGACACACTAGCACCTAGAGCAGCAGCCTCACCAGCACCTAGAGCAGCAGCCTCAATGCCCGGGTCAGGCGGAACACACAGGTAACAGTCACCCTCAACACTATCAGACACCGCATACATGGCAGCAAGAATAGCATCATAATCAAGATCAAAGATAGCAACCCCCGCCTTTGACAGCTCTCCCCAGCGAGGGATCTCAGAGGCCTCAGGGAACTGGTGACGCCACGCGTCCGTCAGGCGGCCGAAGCAGCGCTGAGTGGAGTGCGGGCCCCCGCACTGCTCACCAGCGCGGTCGCCGGTACGGAGGACGTACGTGCAGGGACCAGTACCCCCACCGCGCTGACGCGCAGCGTACCACTCACGAAGCTGCTGAGGGGACAGGGTCTCACGACTGCGCTGCTGCTGCTGGCGCGGACCACCACCGGACCCACTCCTCTGCGCAGAGCCGCGACCAGCTCCACCGCTGCCGCCGCCGCCTCCGCCACCTCCTCCGCCTCCGCCACCTCCGCCGCCTCCGCCACCTCCGCCGCCTCTGCTCCCGCCACCACCGCCGCCGCCTCCTCCGCCCCCACTGCTGCCACCGACACCTCCACCCCCGCCACCACTCCCAACACCACCCCCACCCCCTCCACTGCCTCCACCACCACCTCCACCGCCCCCGCCAGCCCCTCCAGCGCCCTTGCCCCCCTTGCCCTTGCCGGTGCGGCGTCTCCCGCTAGGGGCAGACGCAGCGCCGACCGACTCGAAACCAACGAGGTCGGCCGCAGCAGCAGAAGCAACAGAGGGCAAGAGGGGGGAGGGGGAACACCCCTCAAAGACGGGGGTGCAAGGGTCACCACGAGAGGCTCCTACAGCGACTATGCTCTTCTCTGCTGCTAGGAGGCGCTCCTTGAGGAGGTCAACGGTGAGTGTGGTGGGGCAAACTGAGAGGAAGTGGTCCCTGACTAAGCGAAGGGAGTCAGGGAGCCGGGTGACTATGTAGTAGAGGGTGCTGTACATGGGGGGGGGGGTTCTTGGCACAGAACTCAGCAGGAAGCGCAGCGCGGTAGCGAGTGTCACTAGTGCGAAGGTGCGTAATGAGGTCAGCGACTGTGGGAAAGGCAGCAAGGTCAGGGAACAGGTACGGCAGCATGAGGCGGCTAAGCGCAGCAGTGGCAGGGGAGGAGTAGCGTGCAACTACAGCGTCGTACAAGGTCTTAGCACTCTTGTACTGGCTAAAGTGCGCACGCTCAGTGGTCGGTAAGTGGCGACGCACAGCAAGGCGGGCAGCAGCATCGCGTGTGGCCCACTGTGAGCGAACAGTGCTGTCAGCAGTAGAAGGCGGGGCAGGAGAGGCACCAGAGGTGAGATCGAACAGGGAGAGTCCGTCTGCCCTATCGCACTGTAGGAACAGCTGGAGGTCATCGACCCAGACCTCAAAGTCAACAGCACGACCCTCAGCATCAAAGGTAAGGACACTGGGGGTAGCCATGACTGCAGTGGCCTAGCAGGGAGTGAGCTCACCAGTCCGAGTAAGTAGGGCCGGGGCGCACCGGTAGGAACAGTAGTGGCTCGACGGCAGGGCGGCTCGGCGGCTCGGCTGCTGGGCGGCTCGGCGGCTCGGTTGCTGGGCGGCTCGGCAGCTCGGCGGCTCGGCTGCTGGGCGGCTCGGCGGCTCGGCTGTTGGGCGGCTCGGCTGCTGGGCGGCTCGGCAGCTCGGTTGCTGGGCGGCTCGGCGGCTCGGCGGCTCGGCTGCTGGGCGGCTCGGCTGCTGGGTGGTTCGGCTGCTCAGCTGCTGGGCGGCTCAGCGGTGAAGGGGCCGGTAGAGGCGGCGACGGGGCCGGTAGAGGCGGCGATGGGGCCGCTAGGGGCGGCGACGGGGCCGCTAAGGGCGGCGAGGTGGCCGCGAAGGGGCGGCGACGGGGCCGCTAGGGGCGGCGACGGGGCCGCAGAGGGGCCGCAAGGGGCCTAGAGGGGCGGCGACGAGGCCGCGAAGGGGCCGTAAGGGGCCTAGAGGGGGGCGGCGACGGGTCCGCAAGTGGCGGCGACGGGGCCGCGAAGGGGCCGCGAGGGGCCTAGAGGGGCGGCGACGGGGCCGCTAGGGGCGGCGACGGGGCCGTGAAGGGGCCGCGAGGGGCCTATAGGGGCGGCGACGGGGCCTAGAGCGGCGGCGACGGGGCCGTGAAGGGGCCGCGAGGGGCCTAGAGCGGCGGCGACGGGGCCTAGAGCGGCGGCGACGGGGCCGTGAAGGGGCCGCGAGGGGCCTAGAGCGGCGGCGACGGGGCCTAGAGCGGCGGCGACGGGGCCGTGAAGGGGCCGCGAGGGGCCTAGAGCGGCGGCGACGGGGCCTAGAGCGGCGGCGACGGGGCTGTGAAGGGGCTGCGAGGGGCCTAGAGCGGTGGCGACGGGGCCTAGAGCGGCGGCGACGGGGCCGTGAAGGGGCCGCGAGGGGCGTAGAGGGGCGGCGACAGGGTCGCTAAGGACGACGACGGGGCCGCTAAGGGTGGCGCGAGGGGCCTCTAGGAGGGCGCGACGTGAGAGCGGCCTACGGGGCACGGCTAGGGCAGGAAAAAAAAGATCAAGTTAGGTGGTGGGCCCTGAGAAGCGTTCCCACGAGGGAACCTGCTCTATACCATGTGAAGAATGAGGAATGAATGAGCTAGCACAAGGTTGGGTACAAGTAGGAAACCCTAGGAAACTGTACCCCATAGTGTCTACCCCACTGTAGCCTAGACAAGCTATATGATATAAGTTTGACACATATTGTAAGAAAAATTCCTTTTTCTTACTTCGCGTCCCTGCTCAGCGCGTACACCACTGTTCCCGCCAACAGCACCCAACAGTAATCCATTACCACTCGCGACACTCGCCTCGAATCTGTTCCCGCCACTGTTCACGACGCGACCCAACCTCACGGTTCGGTTGGTAACCCGCGCTCCGGACCTCCGCCTCGTCCGTTCCCAACCTCGGCGCCAGGCCCGTCGCGCACCCCATTTTCCACGCATTACCGTTACCACTATAGTTTCGCTATATATTCTTCGCTCATGCCTTCGCTCATTGTACTCTTGCTTCGATAGTGCAATTCTCGCTTGATCACTCAATTGCAATCGTAACACCTGATATTCAGAGCCTACGATCTCTTCTCAAACCGCACCCACACCTTCGCTTCCTCACTATCTCAATTTTTTGGGGGGTGGACGTCTCTCAGCGACACAGCACCGCCGCTCGTAGTGCTCTCTCGTAAGCACGCATGGCCACGACAGAGGCTCTCGCTGAGCCTGCCCGACACCCCCGCCATGGCCGAATTCACGCTCGCGACATTGACGAAGGAGCAACTCGACCGTCTGGTACGCCAAGTTGAAGAATCGGCGCTCAAAATTGCGACGCTCACGGCGGAACGTGACTCCGCGCGTTAGCAATCCACAGTGAATACTCCGGCGCCACCACACGCACCTGCAAATGCACCTGCACAATCGGAGGAGCCGATCGTCATTTCATCAGGCACACCGACACAGAACGACAGCGTGGGACAGCGCTCAGGCGCAACCAGTGATGGCGCCGCCCAACCGATGCCGGGCATGGGGAGAAACAGGGTCGCGCCAAGCCCGCGGGAGCCTCGTGAAGCCCGTCGGCACGTGGAGTTCGCGGCGACAAGTGGCGACCAGGCCATCATGGCACCAATGCCACTAAAGCCGAAGCGCCCGCCCTGTTTCGACCCGAGTCAGCGTGGAGGTCCGACGGTTCACTCGTGGGTCTTCATGATGAACGTGTTTTTCGACGCAAACTACGTCGAGTCGGACGCAGGGAAGATCAGATACGCCGTCTCGCTGCTGAGGGGGCCCGCCATGGACTGGTGGCGAGTCATCGTGACGTCGCCACGCGCCTACGAGCCACCGTCGCAAGAGGAAGGGCCCACGGGTCCAGCTGTCACCTGGAGTTCATTCTGCGAAACCGCCCAGTACAGCACGTGGGATGCGTGGTGCGCAGGGCTTCGGGCGCGCTTCGAGCCGATCGCGGCTTCGATTTCGGCGCGTCAGAGAATGCGTACTTGGCGGCAGCTCGGGTCGGTTCAAGACTACAGAAGAAGGTTTCTCGCATTATGCGAGCAAGTCGGCTACATGCACAAAGCGGAGCGGGTGGACCGTTACGTCGGAGGGCTGAAGCCAGACATCTCGCACGAGATCATGCTACGCGGGCTCTCGAACTTCAACGAGATTCTCGCGCTCGCCGAGAAAATCGACATTTTGCGCCGTCCGAGACCGGGGTCCTATTACGGACATTGCCCTCGTGGACCGATCGAGCACGCCACCGTACATGCCGTTGCAACGAATGCAGCTGCCGCGCCGTTCAAGAGGCGCTGCTTTGCTTGCAATAGGCCGGGCCATCGCAAGAGTGAGTGCCCAGAGGAGCTGAGGCGCCGTAGAGCAGAGCAGGGGAGGGAGTCTCCGAGGCAGGGAAACGCCAGCAGTCAGTAGGAATCGGGCCAACTACTAACGAGACTGCCTGCTCGCCCAACCCCACCGACCCTCACCGAGTCACAGTACCGATTCATGCTATCGATCGGACTCGGACGAATAAGGAGGGTACAGCGACGGATTGCCCAGTACTGATCCACGGGAAAATACAGGGAGCAGCAGTGAATATTTTTATCGACGGAGGAGCAAGTCACAGTTTAGTTAATACCGCAACCGCACAAAAACTGCAACTGACACTTAGCCGTTGTTTACCTGAGATAGACGCACGCTTAGTCGACGGCACGCCACTGGCCATACGGGAAAGGTTGGAGAGAGTCAAAGTCCGCTGCGGGGGGAATTTCGGGTTTACACACGAAATGCTCGCGACGACACTGGATGGGCACGACATTTTACTGGGACGTCATTGGCTGCGACGGTATAACCCGCGATTTGACTGGACGACGGGTAGCTGCACTGTGCGAAGTAGTGGTAACTGGGTCGAACTACCTCGCTGGCAGTCACCCGAGTCTTCAACGGTACACGTCAACGCCGTCACCATGAAACGGGTTGTCGCCGCTGGAGCTGACGTGTACGCAGTAGACATTGCAGTCGTAGAAGGAGCAGAACAGCCGAGTGATTTCAAGAAACTGATGGCAGCGGTACCGCTCGAACTACAGGAACTGTTGAAACGATACCCGGGAATTTTTCCCGACGACTTACCGGAAGGACTGCCACCTCAGCGAGCACACGACCACCGAATAGAATTAGAACCGGGGGCACAGCCAACCGTACAGTGCCAGTTCAGACTGACACAACCCGAGCTCGACGAACTGAGGAAGCAGTTAGATTACCTGTTAGAGAAGAAATTCATACGACCAAGTTCGTCACCGTTCGCAGCACCGATAATGTTCACGCCAAAAAAAGACGGAGGGTTTCGCATGTGCATCGATTACCGAGCGCTCAACAGGGTAACAGTCAAGTCGCGGTACCCCATTCCCCGCGCCGACGAACTGATAGACCAACTTCAAACAGCACGGGTTTTTTCGAAAATAGAATTACGGGGGGGTTACCATCAGATTAGAGTAGAACCATCGGACTGCGCCAAAACAGCTTTTCGGACTAGGTACGGGTCGTTCGAGTACACCGTGATGCCTTTCGGGCTCACCAACGCACCGGCGACATTTCAGATGACCATGAACGAGGCGTTTAGGCCACTTTTAGATAAATGCGTGATAGTTTATCTCGACGACATCCTCGTCTACAGTCGCGACAAGAAGCAGCACTTAGCAGACCTGGAGGCAGTATTTAAAATTTTAGACGAATATCGGCTACTGACAAAGGGTTCCAAGTGCGAGTTTTTTCAGGACCGGCTAGAGTTTTTGGGGCACGTCATTTCGTAGGCTGGGGTCGAAATTGACCCGAAGAAGTTGGACACGGTCAAAGTCTGGCACCCCCCGACAAATCTCACGGAACTACAAAGCTTTTTGGGGTTCGTCAATTACGTGCGTCGGTTCGTCCCCGACATGGCACGGTTAACAGCGCCGCTGACGGACTTGTTACGGAAGGGGGTCGTTTCTACGTGGGGGGAGAAAGAGCATGCTGCCTTCTCTGCCTTGAAGAATGTTCTCTGTTCACCGCCCGTACTGCGCATCACCGACCCACACCGCCCATTCGAAGTAGTTACCGACGCAAGCGACATCGCCATCGGAGCCGTACTGTTACAGGACTTCGGCAACGGCCTACAGCCCATCGCGTACGAGTCACGAAAACTGCATCTGCCCGAGAAAAATTACCCGATACACGACCGCGAAATGCTTGCGATCGTGCACGCGTTCAAAGTGTGGCGCTGTTACTTGACCGGCGCAGACGTGACAGTACGGACAGACCATAAATCACTACGATACCTCCGCGCACAGCCGCACCTCAACCCACGATAGATTCGCTGGCTCGATTTTCTCGAGTCAAACTTCCACTATACAGTCACCTACAAAAAGTGGGCATCGAACATCGCCGACGCACGAACCCGCCCCACTGCCCAAATCCACGCAATCCTACTCGCCCAGACAAGCCCACTACTGACTGGACTATTCACCCACGGCTATCAAACGGATCCGTTCTTCACGGGAGGAAATTCGCAGCAGTTCGCAACAGCAAAGGGAGTTTATTACGTAAAAGCCGGCACTGACCGCATCTGGGTACCAGGGTACACACTACTACGGGAATTACTGCTTCAGGAGGCACACGACGGAGTTACCTCATGACATTTCGGAGTAGAAAAAACACGGCAGCAGCTGCAGCGGTATTATTACTGGCCCGAGATGTTGACCGACGTACAGCGACACGTGGCATCGTGTTCCACTTGCCAGCTCATGAAATCATCACGGAAGCGGCCGGCAGGACAGCTGCTGCCGATACCACCCCCAGAGCGTGCTTGGCAGCAGGTGACGATGGACTTCGTCACGGGGTTACCGGCCGGGGCGAGTGGGAACGACGCGATTCTGGTTGTCGTCGACCGACTGACGAAAATGGCACATTTCGCAGCCTGCAAAAAATCGATCACAGCCAAAGAAACAGCTCGACTCTTCATCTCCACCGTCGTTCGACTGCACGGGATACCATCAGCGATCATCAGCGACCGCGACACGAAATTCACCAGCAACTTCTGGCGGAACCTGTGGCAGCAGATCGGCACGCGACTGAAGTTCAGTTCTTCGTACCACCCCGAAACCGACGGACAGACAGAACGGACAAATCAGACCATGGAGCAACTCATCCGAGCCACGTGCGACGACCCGACCACCTGGGAACAACAGCTGCCACTCATCGAGTTCGCATACAACAACTCGCCATCCGCCACGACCCAACAGTCACCGTTTTACCTGAACTACGGACAAGACCCGACAATACCTATGACCCCGAATCCCGACAACCCGGTGCCACGCGCACAGCAGTTCGCCGAAATTTTGCAAGCAGCACGGACCAGAACAGCCGACGCAATTAAAAAGGCCAACGTCATCGCTAAACGCAACGCCGATCGCCACCGCCGACCTGTCACTTACCAGCCTGACGACATAGTTTTACTCGGCACTCAGAACCTCCGCCTACCCATCACCCCAAAACTCGGCCCCCGATATTGCGGGCCATTTTGCATCAGCCACATGATTACGCCCGTCACCGCCCACCTCCTCCTCCGTGCTGACTGGTACGTCAGCCCATCATTCCACGCCAGCTTGCTTCGCCCTTACGTCCCATCCACCAGCCAACTGCCTCGCAACCTCCCAACCTGCATGACTCGACCGCTGACCGAGCCAATCATCACGCCCAAGAAAATTCTGAGCCACCGCGTTCGTGATCCACGGCGAGCTCGAAGGGTGGAGTTCCTGATCCGCTGGAAAGACCGTACGCCCACTGAAGACAACTGGGTTTCCCTGGACAGAATCGAGAACCACCCAGTCTTCACCGAGTATCTGTGCAGCCGGAATTTCCGAGATGTACACGCGCTTTCTTAAGGAGGACCTCCTTAGGGGAGGGGGTAGTGTAAGGAAAATTCCTTTTCCTTACTTCGCGTCCCTGCTCAGCGCGTACACCATTGTTCCCGCCAACAGCACCCAACAGTAATCCGTTACCACTCGCGACACTCGCCTCGACACTGTTTCCGCCACTGTTCACGACGCGACCCAACCTCACGGTTCGGTTGGTAACCCGCACTCTGGACCTCCGCCTCGACCATTCCCAACCTCGGCACCAGGCCCGTCGCGCACCCCATTTTCCACGCATTACCGTTACCACTATAGTTTCGCTATATATTCTTCGCTCATTGTACTCTTGCTTCGATAGTGCAATTCTCGCTCGATCACTCAATTGCACTCGTAACACATGTAGCCTCAAAGTGGTTGTAGACTTCGGAGAAAGTGAAACAGATCCGGTAACGGAATTTAGTAGCCACTCAGAAGGGCAAAACAGGGGTGTTGCGAGAAACGAACTCGCGGCCTCTCGCACCCAAAGCGAGAATCATACCACTAGACCAAACACCCACGATTGTAGTCTTTTTGCAATTATTATATCGATTAAAATAGTCCACGTGGCAGACATGGCAAGTCCGACATTCTGAGCCATGCCAGTCTGCATGGCAAGTGATGCGATTGCATGGCATATGCCAGCCGACATGACGAGCAAGCGAGCTATTGCAGCAGGTGATGACGGCCACAGCAAAAAGCAGAGCTTCTCCGAACGGGTTGCTCTGCTCTCAAACGTTGCCTGGCTTATTCAGGTTCAGGCACTTCAAAATCCTGCCTGTTGCATTCGCAAGCTCCGACCTGCGCGATTTCCGGAGGGAGTTTCGAGCACACGAAGCACCGCGACATTCTCACCACACCACGCACCCGCGGCCCGCTCGAGCACCCGCGGCTCGCTCGAACACCCGCGGCTCGCGCAAGCAGTCGCACCGCACTTACGCGCTCGAGCCTCTCGCGCAGACATGGCCGTGAGACTCGCGCCGCGCTATGCGGAGAGGGACGAACCGAGCGGCGACCTCGACGAATGCCCCATTTGTTTCTTGGTAAGAGTCATGGCTTCCGTGTCCTGGTACGCGGGCTCGATTTTGCGGCACGGATCATTTCGTGCTTCGAACGACTCCTTGCTCCACCACTCGTGTTTTTTTTTTTACCGTGCCCACCTTGAATGAGAACATTAATGAATTATTGAATAAATTTATTTTCAACCTTTTCGCCAAAACGCCAAGCGTTTGCTTGTTTTTGTCCCATGCACCCACCTTCCTGCTCCAGTACTATCCCAGCCTCAACACGTCACGATGCTGCAAGAAACGCCTCTGCACAGGTGGGTAATTGCGTGCAAAGTTTAGTTGCTCGTAGAGGTGGGTGACTACACAGGTGGGTAATTGCACTGCTGAGCCTCGAGTGTTGGTAGCGCGCCCATGTTTCATAGCACGCCCGGCCGATGTGAAACGCGTTGCAGCATGCACGGGTCTCCTCGCTTTTCTTGCGCTTACACAAACTCAGCTTCATCCCTCTGTTTCCCGTGCACCATCCTATTTTCAGTTCTCGGATTCCCGTGTGATTCTTATCCTTCTGAGCTTCTTCCAATCTTGCTGATCTCTCCTTCTCACTTTGATAGTGTAGTTTTTTGACGTCTCAAAACTACACTCCTAGTTTCAGTTCTCGTATCCCCGTGTCATTCCTATCCTTCGGAGCTTCTTCTAATGGGCCAATCTCTCCTCCTCGCTTTTGAGGCGCCTCAGAAGTCATCGTTTCTTTTCCTTCACTGCGCTCTCACAAGCAACCATTCTCGCCTGCTCTCCTCTCCTCCTCGCTCACTCTGCCGGGCTCTGCATGAACCCCTTCTCCGGCAGGCAGGCTGCTTTCTACGCATGGCAGCCTCTCTTCACTGTGTCTTCACATCCATTTTCTCCGTCTCTCCGTTGCTCTCCTTTCCTCACACAACTACTTTCTGCCGCTTTCCATTTGCCCCTTGTGATACAGACTGTTTTCTTCGTATGGCAAACTCTATACAATGCGCCCTCCGGTACCTTCTCTGCCTCCCTCGCCTTACATATGTTGTCACTTTCACTACCTCCCCTGACCTAACCTCATCTCACCTCACCGCACCTCACCTCACCTCACCTCACCGAACTGATGGCATCTGGTCATATTCGATCTGATCTGGGCTACTGTGTAGCGCATGTGACAGCACAGCACGCAGTACGTGACACATGCAGCCTTGTGTGACACATGTTTGCCTCCCTCGTCACCCCTCACTATCACCTCATCCCTCACATCGCAGATGCCCGTTTTGCAACACAGATTGATTCCCCCGGTGGAGCATGTTAAAACGCATGCCTAAACGATTCCCTGTCGCCCCTCACCTCACCCCTCGCAGCTGTCCCTTTTGCAACACGGATGCATTCTCTGTGGAGCATCGAGGCAAGCGCACAGCAGCGGAGAGACACGCCGACCTGCTGGTGCGCCACCCCCTTTGCTGCTGCTGCTCTTGTTTCTGCTCTTCCTGCTGCTTTTGCGTCTGATTTGCTGCTGGTGTGAGGAGCAGAGGGCAGTGCTGCTGGTGACTGGAGGCGTTTCAGACTCTCACACCCACCACTTTCATCCCATCGTCCCTCCCCCTCTCCTTCCTTCGCCTCCCTGTGGAGCAGGAGGAGCAGAGGGCGGTGGAAGCGATGATAAGAATGCAGGTTGAGGCCGCAGCGGCACACTCAGCACGGCTGGCTGGGCAAACATCACCAGCAGCAGCAGAAGCAGCAGAAGCAGACACAGCAGCAGAATCAGGGGAAGAAGCAGCAGGAGCAGCGTCACCAGCGTTGGCACGGACCGTATCCGCAAGTGACTCGTGAGAGCCTGCACCCTCTTTGCTTCTTTGCGCATAGAAGGGCACTGCACCCTCTTTGCCTTCCTTGCCCTTCCGCCCGCCTCCTTTCCCTTTCTGTCTGTTGTCCTTCCTTTGCATTTGGTTCTTCCTGTCACCTCTTTATCCCACCACTTTTTTCGCTTCCTTTGAACTGCTCTCCCTATCTCGCGGTCATCTCTTTTTAACTGATCATGTACCTCTTTCCACTCCTCATCACCTCTACCTCTTCTCACCTCTCCGAACCTCCACCTCTTACCACCTCGTTTACTTACCACCCCCCTCAATTAACACCTCCCTCACACACCACCTGTCTTTCTCTTTCTTTTCTTCCCCGAGCGGTGCGGAGGACATGGAAGAAGATGCAGAGGAGCTGATGCTCCTTAGGTACCACCTTCCTCACATACCACCTGTCTGCCTGACTCCCTCTCACCCCTCTGAGCAGAGAGGAGAACATGGAAGAAGATGCAGAGGAGTTGATGCTCAGCCAAGCCATCTGGCTCTCACTGCAAGTAAGACCTTGCCACTCTCGCACTCCATCCTTTGACTTTTGAGTCGGTTCGACTTTTGAGTCGACTCAAAACGAGGTGACTTCTGAGTCGACTCAAATGATGCAGAGGAGTTGATGCTCAGCCAAGCCATCTGGCTCTCCCTGCAAGTAAGACCCTGACACTCTCGCACTCCATCCTTTGAGTGGACTAAATGGCTGTCTGTTTTTACCTGTCTCACCTCTTTACAATCGCTTCTCGCAAGCCGTTCTCCTCATCCTTCCTCTTCTTTGGTCTCCTATGTTGCATCCCTCTCTCCTCTCCCCGCCCCGCCCTCCCAGCAGCAGCAGCAGCAGCACCAGCAGCAGCACCAGCATCATCATCAGCATCATCAGCACCAGTGCCAGCAGCAACACCATCATCAGCATCAGCAGCCAAGGCAGAGGGTCTCGACTGGAACAGCAGCCGGAGGGCAAGTGCCACTGCCGGCACATGTTGCAGCGGAAGGGATAGCACGAGTGAAACCACGATTGTCAGAACGATTGGCAGCTTCGCCATCAGCAGATGAGTTGTATCAGACTTATCGGCAGCCGCAGCCGCCGCCGCAGCAGCAGCAGCATCAGCGGCACGTGCAGCCGTCTTTAACTGCAGCAGCTGCAGAGGCACGAGCAGAGGCACTAAGGGCAGCACGAGAAGCAGCCCGCAGGGAAGAGCAGCAGCGTCGGCTCTTAGAGGAGCAGAGACGTGTAGCAGAGGCACGAGCAGAAGCACAGGCGAAAGAACAACGGGCTGCAGAGAGGGCAGCACGCAGGCAAGAGCAACAGCGCCGGCTTGCAATCGAGCAGAGAGCTTTGGCTGCAGCAGCAGCAGAAGCACGGTCATCAAGACAAGGGACCTGTGCTGCATCTTCATCTGCACCTGCGCGTTCGACTGCACATGTACATGCACGTGCCCATGCACAAGCACATGCAGATGCGTCCCCATCGCTCGCGCCACTGGGAGTGCCTCTGTCAGTGCCGGATGATTTCGAGGAGCAGATGAATCTGGCGGTCGCCCTTTCCCTCATGGAGGCCGAACAGATGGCAGCACTCAGTGGTGGGGGTGCTAGTGGCAGTGGCAGTGGTAGCGAGTGGTAGTGAGTGGTAGTTATGATGACCGTTTCATCGATGGGAGCAGATGAATCTGGCGGTCGCCCTTTCCCGCATGGAGGCCGAACAGATGGCAGCACTCAGTGGTGATGGTGGTGGTGGTGGGGGTGCTAGTGGCAGTGGCAGTGAGTGGTATAAAATATAATTTCCGCTACCGGAGCAGATGAGTCTGGCAGTTGTCGTTTCCCTCATTGAGGCCGAACAGAGAGCAGCACTTAATGGTAGTAATGACGACCGTTTCACCGATGGGAGCAGATGAATCTGGCGATTGTCATTTCGCTCATGGAGGTCGAACAGAGGGCAGCACTCAGCGGTGATGGTGGTGGTGGTGGTGGGGGTGCTAGTGGCAGTGGCAGTGAGTGGTAGTAATGACGACCGTTTCACCGATGGGAGCAGATGGGGTCTGGCGATTGCCCTTTCCCTCATGGGGACCGAACAGAGGGCAGCACTCAGTGGTGGTGGTGGGGGTGGTGCTAGTGACAATGACAGTGGTAGTGACTTTTGAGAGTTCTCAAGTGGTGGTGGTGGGGGAGGTGGTGCTGGTACCTGGCAGTGGCAGTGGCAGTGGCAGTGGCAGTGGCAGTGGCAGTGCTAGTGGTGGTCATCTCATCTCCCATATGGGAGCAGATGAGTCTGACAGTCGCCATTTCCCTCATGGAGGGTGATCAGGACAGGGGGTTTAGTGTAAATATCCACAATCTAGGGTGTGGCTAGGGGTTAGGAGGGAAGGGGAATGAAATAAGGGGAAAGGTAGGGGGGAGGGGAAGTGGCAGCAGTGGGAGTGCGCAGAGCTAATGCAAGCTGGGATGCAGATTGGTGGAAGATGGTGAGGAAATAAGGAAAGGTTCAGAAATGTTTAAAAAGCAACTCGTTTTTCTGTATACTTCCACAATTCGGAGTTCGTGTATTCCAAAGCTGCTGTGAAGATGGATATGAACTTGGAATTTGGGAGTATAGAGCGTTACAGAGCTTTATATTTCGGTGTAGGGACGACGAACTCCACACGCAAGCGTCTGGAAGTCCGACTTTCCGCGATCGTCGGACCTCGGACTTGGAAGTGTCAACTACCGTTGAGTTGACTCCAAAATCACCATCCCGTACTGTAATTAACCTATTTCGTTCAAGATTCTCCATTTCATTCCGTAAGTAGACTCGCCCCTGCTCTGCACGAAAGCTCTCTGCGTCTAAGATAAAGGAAGCAGACGACCGCACGATCTCATGAGCTACCTCATACAAATGTAGACATTCGAGCGAGCAGGGCGGCTATTGTCGCAAAGCTCCGAAATAGGGCGGCATCGAAGAAGCAGAGCAGAGCATAGAGAACGTGTGCTTTGAATCAGCCCCTCAGGGTCTTACCCTGGCTGTTTCATTCGCAAGCTCCTACTTACTACGACATCGCGGTTTTTACAAGGGCCAGAAGTCACCGCAAAGGGACAACATTGTGACTTTTCCGTGACAGATTTCCGTCACGGGAAAGTCATGGTTGGAATTTCCAGAGTGCCTGGTCACATTGCCGGTCACGCGGCCGACACCAAAATGTTACCCAAAATTAACAAAAACCTTACGGTTCCGTTACCCACCCAGTCATGGCTTCAACACTGTTTCGTCACCTTTACGTCACCGCCTACCACGTACCCAATTCGTCACCGAATCACTACAGATAAACACCACCGCCACGTCAGCAGCCACGTGTTGTGCAGTGACAACTTTGCATTACATCTACTACACCGACCAAGAGAACGTACGCCACGTGTACTGACGCGTCCCCGAATCAGAGTTCGACACATGTCCGGAAAACCACGACACATAGACGACCACGATTCAACATAGGGTCGTTCAGATCAATGACTGAGCTTCGTCCACGTATCGCACACTGCTCCGGCAACGTTTCCCGTGTAGCCGTCGATATGACCACACCTGTACTGTCAAGATTTCCCCCACACATTACAGACCACTGCTGGATGCGAGTTCGCCATCTAACCGTACGTTCTCCCCATATCCCACGGCTGGCGCCGTTTGCGAGACAACAATCACATGCTTCGTGTCCACCATCTACACCGTCCATGCCACACACATGTGTGATCCATGTCGATGTTACCATCATCCATTCATGGCTTATACGTGACCTCACATCTATCACCATGTGCGATCCAACGGCCATTTTTTTTCCAGATGGAACACGGACAACGCTTCTCTTTGTTGTCATCTACGGTGCACCTTTGTCCGTCCCCTACGCGCGACCGTCGCCCCTGAGTTCGTGGCCAATCCACGTCCAGCTTAGCCCATAGTCGACGTTTCGCCAACCGCGGATCGAGGCCGCCGAGCCTCTAACTCAAATATAGATTACATGGTTACATGACACCTTGCCCGTTGATCTCATCCCGACTTATCACAACAACCGTCCATCACGCGGCTCCACGCGCCACCTCAGTGTCATATCGACATCCAACCGTCCATCGTCTTCCACATGGAACTCGCGATTCGACCACAAAGCTCCTACGACCCGCATTTCACCGTATACGACCCTCCGTTGTGCCTGGTGTTATCCACATGCATGTGAGGCACCCAGTCAATTTCGTAGGTATTGGCAATAACCATTGTTTTATTCACTCTTCTGTACGGTTTCCCCCCTCACAATTTCCGCATACATATCACACTATGTGGTACACAACAATCACTCCTACTGAATGCCACAAGCTAGGCTGAAACACACGGGTTCCCTGCACTAGCACCGCACAGCCTTGAACTTCAGCTTCCCTACAAAGCCGGGGATCGGGTTCCTGTCACATCAGTTCAGCGAGAGATTGTCCCCCTCCCTCCCGCTCACGCTGTCTGCAGGCGCGGCTGTCGCCTGGCGCTCGATGCCGCACGCAGAAAGGCGCAGGCCATGGCGACCCCATGCCCATGAGGAAGTGGTTGCGTCGTACGCCGGCTGGAACTGATCGACAGCCACCATGACGTCCGTCAGAGCACACTCACGGAGGCCGTCCACGATCTGCGCGTTAACACCGGCAGAGTTGGACAGCCTTCCCTTGCGAGTCTCCCAGAAGCGGATGGCATCTGTCACCTGCACATAACATGTAACGGCACACCCAGAATTGTTCAGTGCCCATTATAGGTCGCCCAGCGTTGATCCACCTGTGTCCAGTATCAATCCTTACCACGTGCTCGAGTCATGCCATGTGGTACAGCTTCAGCGTCACAGTCCCGTTGAGCATCCGCGGCTTGAACGCCGCACGGGCACATGCTGCGAAGGCCCAAGACGCAAAAGGCATGCTTCGGCGGTCCTCGCTCCACTTGGAGATGGCGAAAATGTCTGCGTTCACACAGGTGACCGTCAAGCCACATCCCATCAAAACGCACGATGAATAAAACAACGCATGTTCATGTCTCACCCTCCCCGTCCAATGTCAGAGCAAGCCGCTCCCGGACCCTCGCCGCCGAACGTGCCTTGGGGGCCGCCCACGGGCTCCGCTCGTCCCAATCGTCACGAAAAAGCCCGAGCTTCGGCAGCGCGATGTCGCACACATGTCTAGCAGTTGCCGTCTTCCAGTCGCTCAGGGTGCGATTAAGGTCGGAGCGCCTTGCCTTGTCGGCAGCCAGAGCCAAGCTCACAAATGCAAGGGGCAGGCTCTCGATGACGGCGCACAACGCTGCAGTCTTTGCCGCGCTGCTCGGGTAAAACGTCATAGACTTGTTGTCTGCCGCGATGAAGAGATGCACGCGCAACTGCTCACAGATCTCCTGCACATCACGTAGCCCCATAACAATGCGCAGCGAAACCGGTTAGCAATCGTAACATAAAACGCCTCTGGAGCTACACAATCGGCTACGCGATACAACGCATCCGCCTAGTCACATGGCTGTAACTTGCCTTCCATCCTTTGTTCGACGGGAGGAACTTAAGCGCCCGCTGGAGTACGGGTGAAGTGGACGACCGAATGTGCCGCCAGTGCTCCTCCTCCAACTCCTCCTCGTCTAGCTCGGACTCTTCGGGCGTTGAAACGCGATGGCCCTTCTTTGCATTCGTTGCCCTCTCGCCCCCTCCTCGCGCATGTCCCTCTTGCGTTTCTTTGCGTCGTGGTTGGCAAGAGACGCCAGCAGCACCGTCTCGAGCCTCGCAAGCATCGCAGCCGTGTCCTTCTGGGTTTTGCGCATAGCATCGATCTCCTCCCTGGTAATAGGAGCCGAGTCGGAGCGTGCTTCATTCGTCTCCTCCGCGTCATCGTCGGCAGCAGCATTGACACGAGGAAGAGCTTCGTTCGGGTTGTCATCCGACGACTCGGGCTCGGTTTCCGGCGGCGGCGCGTCAGCCTGTTCCTCCTGGACAGGCAGGTTTGTGACTTTGCGACGCTTATCGGGTCTCGCCGAACGCCCGTCCCCTACGGATGCCGAAGGGCCTGCCTTCCGCCTAGTGGACGCGGTGCCACGCGACGAGGAGCTCTCTCCCTCCCGTGCGTCAGGAGGATTGGGCGCCGGGGAAGACGCTGCACGAAAATATTGGAAGGTACTTATTTCATTCCCATCAAAAACAACAATAACATCAATAGAAAGTAACAACACTCCACCTCAGCTTACACCGATCAGAGGTCACGCTTGTCGGAGCACGGACAACCGCTTTCTTATCCCGTGCGCCAGTTGCTCTTGGCACGGGCGGCCGCTTGGAAGTCCCTGGCACCACATAATGCGTGAGGTGTTTGGGGGGCTTGGACACGCGCTGACGCTTCCCCTCTCTAGACGCTCGAATGCTGACATTTCCACTGTCCATATTGGCAGTGGCTACTGGACGTTTGGTGTCCAGAATGACGGGTTTCATTGGCTTTGTGCACAAACTGCATGAGCTAACTGTCTGCGTCCAGTATTTTGCGCACAGTGACGTGGCAAATGCGCTCTCGGACGGAAATCTGCAAGCCAATCGGCCCACGCCACCAAACCTCATCTTGTTATCTCGAGAGTCTGGACACATTCGTGTCCACCCACGACCTTACCAACTCGCACACTTACATCGCGTACAAAACACTTCATGAGACCTAATCGGATGGACACAAAGTTGTGTTTCATGGGTTCATCATATGACTATTCCACACATTGTACTCAGTCTACAACAATTTAAGCCACGTGCATCACGCAACATTCTCCACCACTAAACATGCAACAATTACTCTTAGGCAGAACTGATCAGGGCATGTGCATGTCCACCGGCCCACCTTCTGACCCATCCCCAGGGGCGACTTCTACGCTCTCCCCTTCCGCATCTCCCGCTCCCCCCCGTTCATCCTAAAAAATGCCTTGGCGTGAAGTCTGTGGGTTTGACTTGCCACCCTTCTCCGGCTCGAATGGAGTTCCTGGCAGAACCCCTATGTCGTCCATTGCCTTCCGCCACTCCCTCCACCGATACCACTGCCGTTTTTGCACGAGGTGAGGTACATCATCCTCAATGCACCCCTCCAGCGCTGCCATCTCAACCTCACTCAGTTCCATGGCCTTGGTAAAACTGTCCTTCCTCCGTATTACGAATGCTCCTGCAGCGTATGCATAAGCCGCGTCCTCCTCCCTCTGATACGCGCCAAGTCGAACCTGCTTGCATGTACTCAGATCTGTCGTTAACTTTGTGCACCACTTCCTCACACACAGGTCGAACCAGACGCCCGTGCACTCGCTCGTGCCACACCTCTTCTTCTCACCTGTGCCAGCACATGCCTTTGCCATCGCCCCTGCCGATCGTGGCCTTCGACCCTTCGCTGGTGTGGCTTCAGGTGTCTTCGGACTGTGAGTCTCCGTGCTGTCTTTGCGTGCCTTGAGGTGTGCTCCAGTCTCCTCCTGGTGTTGGCGGGCCCATATCGCAGGTGCAGGAGGCAGCGGCTCTGGCGACTCGTGCAGCATGTATGCCAGAGTCTCCTCTGCTGCCTGTCGCTCCGCATGGTTCTCCGCCGTTGGTGACCGTCTGAGTAGAGGCGTCCCACATGTGCTCAGCTCATGAGCGCATGCTGCCCGGAGCTCATTTATGTTGTACCCCAGTGCCTTTGCGATGCTCATGACCGCAGAGGCCAACACGAACCCGTCCAGCTCCATGTTTGTCCGCTCACGTGAGAGCCGTGCCAAGTCCAGGCGCACGTCATCTTCATTTGGGAACATCAAGACACCCTGGTCCCCGCGTACTGCTAACGGCTGAAGGGGCACCTCAATCTCCTCCATGAATAGTTGCACAATCAGCTCCCCATCCGCGAGACTGCATACATCGCCGCGCAGGCCGCGTCTGAAGTCTTTTGCCATGACGCCGTCGCAGGACACCCACTTGCGCACCGTGGTGAAATCCGACCTCACCAGCGCTTTCAGGTACATGCATACGAAAACACCACAGTCCTTGTCGTTCGTCTACTATGGAATCACTTCTTTCTGTAAGGATGACAAGGTGCGTAAAGGGCGTCAGAACACTCTCCCAACAGCACTCCAACCACCTTAAACGGCACTCTCCAACACCACGGTCATACAAACTGAACAATACTCACCGGGATTACTACGTGCACCGCTTCTCGCACTTTTTCTGCAGCCTTAACTGGGTTGTCGGTTGGCAGCTGGGACTCGTGGATCATCAGAAGCGTCCTGTGTCAATCACACGCAACTGTGAGGCGACGTTCCCTAAGAAAAGAGCGAACGGCATGAAGAATTAAAGAGCCCCAAACTTACTTCCTCACACCCTCTATCACATAAGGGTCCCTGGCGTGCATGCCATCGCTGTCGTAGTGCACAAGGCGTACACCTTCCGTTGCCCCCTCTCCCCGTTTCCCGGACGACATGTTGCAAAGGTTAAGAGCTATGACCAATGAGAAGTCTCTCCTGCCCAGCCGGGGAATGTTGGTGGAATAACGAAAGCAAAGTCGTGTGTTTTGTGGCTATATGTCAACGATGTACTTGCGCGAACACAATAAACCCACCTTGCAATGATTGGAATGGCCACGTAATCCAGGTCGAAGATACACGATGATCCTCCCAGTGGCCATGTCTTGTTCAGTTGCGTTGCGTATACGAATGCTTTCGTGTCGAGCGGGAACCATGTCTTTCCATCTTTCAGTTTAGGGTGTCGGATGTTGAGAAGTCTGCACGCACGGCCACAGCACCTAAGTACCGAGTTTAGTGACTGCGCACGATGCTAACTCGACATCCCTAAGTCAGCATGTATGAGCTTACATGTTGTGAAAATCCACTAGGCTGTCGGCGAGATTCTTCCCGTCGGCGGCTGTAAGAGCATCCTTAGCGGTGATCTGACATCTTACCCCGTGTGGGCCGAAGAGCGTGAGAGTTCGGAAGTCACAACGCACGGCCGGATCTCGCAGCCTCTTGATCAGGTCGTCTGGCTGGTCGTCTACGGGCGGTCCACTGCCTCCAACGTTCCATCCCGATGCCGATGACTTGGACACGTGCTTACTGGCTGCGACCTTCTGCGTGTCTTCTTCATGCTCCTTCGTGTTGGTTCCAAGTGGCCGAGTTAGCATTCGCGTCAGTAGGTCAGACACGTGAGGACCGCGGGGCGGAGACCCGTCGTTAGCCTCCCTTTTCACTCCCCTTCCACGAGCTTTCATAGCGGAGGACAAGAACGATTGGACAGAGAGTTGATGTTCAGAACACAACGCATCTAGACAGGCAGTAGGATAAGAGTCTTGTCTAGCTGCTCGGTCCGTTATACGGACACATTCGACCTGTACTGCGTAAATAGTTGTGAGGGCAAGAAGAGGAAGAGCTAAGCGCACCAAATTCGGACACTCGGCGACATCACATGATGTTTCCACGTGTCCAGCGCTAGAGAAAGCGCGCCAAAATTGATGGTTCTGGATCCGAGCCTGACGGTTGGGTTTTGTATTTTCCAATGACCATAACTAAACACTCTTATAATGCTTTTTGCGAAAATGGAGCATACACTCTTGCAACGTGTACATTTCAAATCACATTGAAGCAGTCGCAAATCGAGACTCGCCAATCAACGCTTTCGCGATTGCCGTGCTGTCCATTGTCACATCACTTCTGATCGGACATGCAAACCGGAGTGGTTGGAACATGGCTGCCGGGTACTGTACTTTTTAAAGCGGGATTCGATAATAACTTTCACTTTATATGTTGACAACGATATACCCACTTCCAACCATACAGCGTTCAATCCACCCAGTCACAAGCAGTGACCGACCACCCGACACCCACACTAATAGCTGCTACCGCTGACAGATGAAACAAGAGGCGAGCTAAAGCACAAGATAGCGGCTGTATCGCCGCTAGAGCTGTCACTGCAGATGGAACTCCCAGGTCGCGTAGTGGCAAGGGGCACACGTTCAGGGGGCGTCCGGCGAAGTCGCTTAACCACTTCGTCGTTTTCGACCCCCACTCGCTCAGGGACGTCGCGCGGACTGATGCCCATTTCCGCAGCCGTGCGGACGAGCGTCTGCGTTACCGCGCGCACCACGCGCCGTCTTCTTCAAGGATCTCGGAAAATAGTGCCTTCTGGCATGGATAGCGGATGAGGAAGATGCGGAGAGTGACATGAGTAGTATTGACGACAGGTTCAACACTCTCACTGAGCTGTACATATTTTTCCGAGACGCTGACCTTTCGAGAAGGGAGGTTAACAGATTGCTCAACATATTCGCGAACCCCCGATTCTCTGTGCGAGATGTACGACGGTGGATGAACTTTGTCGACGTCAGGCGGTTCGGGAAGATGATGGCGCCTCCTGATTTAGTGCCGTGGCAGACGACCGTGATCAAATGCTACGGACCCAGAGGAAAGATGGCGAACCTACCGCTTCATTTCAGGAACACGGAGCTGGTGAGACTGGGGCTCGTGACATGTGGTGTGGTCGTCGTTGGGGGAAGGGGTTGGCGTAACGGTCTCGGTTAGGCGAAGCCTAACGGAGTAATTGTGCAATGCGTCCCTTTACAGTTGGTGTAGAAGCTGGTGCGGACGTTCGTACACACAGAGGGGTTCGTGACGGAGCCGCGGAGGGATAAGGAGGACAGCGAGGAAAAGAGGCATTTTAGCACCCCCGATCCCGGGGCATGGATGGAACAGGCTCACGTGAGTGAATGCGGTGGTCGGGAACGGTGACTTTCCGGACAAACTAGGCACGGTAGGTATTCGCTCGGGTGTAGTGACTCATGACACATGAAGTGAGTGAATTCGGATACTCCTGGATAACATGTGCAGGCTAACAGGCCGGAGCAGAAGGGGATCATTCTGGGGGTGATTGTGTACAGCGACAGTACGCACACGAGTGCCAACGGGAGGCTACAAGTGTGGCCAGTACTTATAAGGCTGTTCAACATCCCAGAGGCACTGAGATGGATAGAGCCAGGCCACGTGCTGGCTGGGGTGCTGCCGTTTCCACCTGACTGGGCGACGTCCACTGAGAAGACACGTGTGTTCCAGGAGGCGATGGCAATTATATTCGATCCGCTGTTGAGAGAGCACCGAGGGTGAGCCAGTGATGACACATTGGTCCTTTCAGTCATGTGCGTGAAGATGTGGATGCATTCATGTTGCGTTGTGCTTTGGTTGCTACAATGCAGAACTGAAGTTCATATACGTGACAGATGCATCTGGCCAAGTGGTGAAGGCTTTCCCATGCTTGTTTGCAGAGGTTGGGGACTACCCCGAGTCGTCCCGGTGCACTGCGACAATGCAGCAGGGTTCACACATGCCTTTCAGCTCGTGCTATATCAAGAAGACGAGCCTGTCCGACCTCAAGACGGAAACGACGGTCATGACTGTGGAACTACACCGGAAGGTCGTTTCGTGGATGCAGAACGCATCCACAAAGGAAGAGGCTGACAGGATCCGGAGGCGTTGGTCGACACACCCCGTGCAGGTAAGATTGGTTTTTAGGCCCGTGTCGTGCTGTGGCATGGGTATGCCGTCATGTTCATGGTAGTTAGTAAGTAAAGGCAGATGTGTCATTGTGGTGTCTTTTTGATGGCAGACGGTACTGGAGAGGTGGAATTTCTCTTATACGACCTGGGGGAACGTATTTCTGGCATACGTGGCGGACGTACTGCATGTGTTGGACGGAGGGTTCCTTGGACACATGGTGGACGAGTTCATTTCTCCTCTCAGCAAGCCTGAGAGGGGAGAACTGGAGAGGCGGGTGGCGAATGCATCTGGCGCTTGCAGTGGACTTGTAATTTCAAGACCGCTATACGCAAGGCATGTGTGATGTCCATGTGCAGGCGCAAGAAGGAGCAGAAGAAGGAAACGCGCACCACGGTTGTCAGGATCCCGGGCGGAAGTTCTTGGTTCAAGTCAAGGGCGAACTACGTGGCGTTCGAGAACAGGGCCATGATGCAAGTGATGTCGATTCTTATTGCGGACAACATGGAAGGGTGCGAGCCAGAGGTGAAGGAGTAGCAGTTCAAGGAGGTGAGGGCGTTCAGGAGGTACGCACTGTTCTACAAGTCGCTCATCGGCGTGAACAAGCACACCGAGAGGACACTCAGTGACGTGCGACAGAACACGTACATGTGAGTGGCGACACTGGTTGCTTCCAGAAGTGTGGGAGGGCTGCTGTGGGGTGGTGAATGTGTAGTGAACGCAGAGGTGCAGACGTTTAGGGGCATATGTGACGTCGTGGAACTGTGGAAACGCATCATTTTTGGAGGCATGGTAATGGTGAACATAACCGTGTGATCACTGAATTACGTATTGCAGAATGCTGGACGCTGTGAAGGACGCTTTCCAGTCGCAAGCGTCTGCGTGGAACTTACCGAAGGTGCACCAGATAATACATCTCATTGACGGCATCATGCTCCCCGGGATACCGTACGAGTACTCAACGAACCTCTGGGAGCACACTCACAAGGGCACAGTGAAGGTCCCAGTGCGCAGGAGCAACTGGAAGGACATACCCAGACGCATAGTGGAAGAGGAGGTGCAGAGGGAGATCACGCGGGAGGTGGCGGCCCTGGCAGGGGGGGGAACGGCAGTACGTCAGTGCGTTGCGTGAGGTGAGCTTGAGGTAACGCCGGGGCATAAGGGATATGGTAAACGGAATAGCTGTAGGACGGTGTCGCACGTGACGACAGTGAAGGTGTCCATTTGGAGTTGCCCATGGTTAAGGGGGCTTTTCGCTCATCTTAGACAGCAGGGTGTGTGGTGGCGATTTTTGCGAAATGCATGTGAATGGTCTGCTGTGGAACACAGGGGTGCGTACGTGGTTCTGTTCTCTGAAGTATGCGGGTGTCCTTCCTTTCAGGCGGTGAAACATCAAACGTACGTCCTAACGAGGAGGTCTA